CCTACTTGTGTCAATAATTATAGGGTATTCAATACATTATTAGGAGTAAAATTGATCAGAAGTGAAATTAAAACACGAGTTTAAGAGATCAATGAGTTTCAAATAACAAAAAACCATATTTACAGCAACATTTTTACTCAGTTAATTACTTACTTACGCCTGTTACTCCCAACGGAGCATAGGCAACCGACCAGCATTCACTATTAAATTGGAACGTTTATCTTTCATATATCTGAAGATCATTTGAAATCATCAACCAATCATTGTTAGACAACCATTAGAAACCTGGAAGCACTGGACGGCCGTTTTGTCCTGGTATGGGGCTCATCAGCAGTGCACATCCACGACTCCTGCTCCTCGCAGGAATCGAACTCGGGACCTTCGGTATAGTACGCGAACGCCTAAGCATCGGACCACTAGGCCGGCATACAACGGTCCTAATTTCTAACTCTGATTGATCTACGGATTTTGTGCGACCTCACCCATTTGTCTTTGCTATTTACTGCCTACACCCGACAGGGTTGAACTACATTGGTCACGTCTTCTCACTAGAACTCCGAGAATTTCCTCACGAAGCTAGTCACTAGTGAGCACTGTTACGATATTTTCAGTTAGAGCTTTGGAGATTTGTGTTTTCACACATTTGATGAGTCTCATACCAGGAACAAACGGCCGTCTTTCAGTGCTTTAAGGTTTATAATTGTGGTCTAACAATGATCGATTGATTGATGATTTCAAATGTGTAAAAACAGAAATCTCCAAAGCTCTAACAGAAAATATCTGAAGATCAATTGAAACATTAGGAGATACAATTATAAAATAATTTTTATAAATTTAATTTAGAAGTATTTCATAACCGCCGTTACAGTTATCATAGAACTTATTTTCGTGCATTGAAGTAGAATAAACTTCTCTACAGTGCTAACTAAATTACATTTTTAGAATTTGAAGTTTGTGTACTTTTTATGTCGAGGCCATAGGGCTTGTCTCAACCTTTGAAGAATCTAATCAATCCATCCGCCACACGTCTTTCGACCTTGCCAACTATTCACTTTGATATTGATTGTTTTCGTTCGAGTGCGTCGCATTCTTACTTCGCTAATTACATGGCAGGCTTACTTTGACTATAAATACTTCGTCATACTTCATGGCATAGAGTTAGCTTACTTGACGTCTCCACTTTGCTTTGCTTTGCTTATACGCTTTTCGTTCTCACATCTACTTTCACGAACGATGATTGCTTGCAATAAACGCGTCTAAATGAATCCGTCAGTCAGTCAGTCAGTTACGACGTACAACTATGTACATAAGTACATTAGTTCAGGTTGCCATACCACATTAGTACAGAGAAGCAACTTTCAGTTCAAATCACATAGTGGTAGCTATAATAAAAAAATTAGCTGTGCTGGAGAATATTAAGGAACGAAGATATTATTCGAGAAGTATGTAGTTCAGTGAGATAACTTAAGAAAGAGAAAGATAGAGGTGAAGAGGAATTCAGAAGATTAGAATGTGAGAGAACACAGTAATTCACTACACCTGCGCCACTGCAAACGTGTCTTTCAAGGTCTCTAACCATCGATGACTTTCGTCTCGCGTACCTCAACCAGGTAGCCTATATCTACCAAAATTACACAGTCCACTTATCAAAACGAATCTGTATTTGACTTCATATTACCGCCGTCAAACTGACGGGTTCGCCCTAAGTATGATATACGTAAACTGATGGGAAGATATATTTCATAGCACACTTAGATGTTCATAAATAAAGGAGTCAGCTCACAAGCCCCTAAAGTGGTAACCTTAGCCACTAAACTGGCAAGCCTAATGTGATTTGAGCCTGATGTAGTCGCTAAAAATTCTTGAGAATCAATTTTAATTTGACAGTGTAAAAAAATTTTTTGATCAAACACACACAATCTATCTCAATTGATGGGAAGAAATTCTGCCGAACAAGAAGCATAAACAAGAATAATAAAACATGAGAAAATTAACTGATTATTATTTCACATGGTATGACTGGAAAACAGTTAAACACACCACACACACATACACATATCTATCTATCTATCTATCTATCTATCTACATTGGTTAGGGTTAACTATTTGAACTGAGATGTTGTTTATTTACAAACAATGTCATGTTAAAATAATTAATTTCAGTTTTTCAATAAAAAATTTATTGATATTTTATACAAACGAATCTATTGTACAAATGTTTCAGTAAATTATGTTAAGTTTGACTGATATATTTGACAGGATTTAATTGATAATACTGTCGGGGATGTTAGATCTGCAGCGCTTGCTTGTTAAATGTCTTAATTTTGGATTTTATTCATGGGCTGATCACATTTCCCTCCAAGAAAATCCATATCTGTGATTGGTTGATGTGTTATTTTAGTATGCTATTTTTGTGACTCTCCAAAGGACGTTTCTATGATGTATAAATAAACGTGATTTGTGTGTTTGGGTGTTTGTATACATACACTTGCTACGTCATGTGGACTTTTTCTTCAGTTAGTTAGGGTAATGAATCAGAGGAAGCCTACCGTGTCACTGGGTCATTGTCTTGTTCTCGTTTATCATCGACTCAGGTGAACTAGTATTAATTTGAACCATATCACGTGACGAGCATAACAAATACTAAACTGATTGAGTACGGATGAAAGAAAAGTGACTAGAGAGAGAGAGAATTTCATTATTTGTTTAGATATGAATAGTGAACAACCACCTCCCAGGTATGTTACACAAATTTAAAGCTGATTTCAGATACCAACAAATGTCTTAGCATATTTGTTGATCAAAGTTTCAATAATGTGATTGTATATTTTTATTAAATTAAGAAATGAGTATGATTAATATCGATTTTTCAGTAGAGGACAATGTGTGACACAGAATTTGACGTACATAGTTTTCACATTTATTGTCCAACCACCATTAGAGGCCTGGAAGCACAGGACAGCCTTTTCGTCCAGAGACCCCGCACATGGTCTCGCTCTAGATCATGAAAAATGCAATTTTTGGCCACATCTTAGTGATCGATCTGTAGTAAATGAGAATGTAACCTTAACATCATTGAGTCGATGTTTTGAATATGTTTTATTCCTCAAAATCTTCGTTATAAGCTTTAACTGTTTTTCACCATCTCTAAAGTTTTCATTGACCTCCCCACGTGTTCATTCAAATCTTGTCAGAAAATATTAATTCATCTAAGTGAATATGTGGATTGAAGTCAGTGTTTTAAAACAACTATTCGCAAATCACTTACGTATTCAATACCTTTTTGTATTTTAAAAATTCAGAGATTGCTTTTGCTTATATTTCAGTCCAACTTTGGTCCAAAAATATTTTGACGAGAATCATTGTTTATTTATACGCTCTGTCTAAAACTTTCCAATCATTAAACTGATTAGTATAATGCAGGAATCAACAATTTCAGTTCATTTACAGTTCAAAATTTTTAATACACAGATTAATAACATTCACTTGTAAAGATAACAGTCATTCTTAATTAATGATAAAAATATTACTTACTTACTCACTTTAATTACGCTTGTTACCCCCTAGTGGAGCATAGGCCGCTGACCAGCATTCGATAACCTACTCTGTCGTCAGCCTTCCTTCATGGTTTAACCCCGTTGACGTTGGTTCTTTTCATTTCTATCACCACTTCTTAGGGCAGTGTGTTCAAGGTTCTTTATTCTTCCTCTTTTCTCCCAACCTTGAGAATTTCACATGACGGCTTGTCTTGTGATGCAGTTATTTGATTTCCGCAATGTGTATCCAATCTACTACTTCCAGCGTTTCTTCATGATTCCCTCCTCCATTGGAATCTGGTTTGTTCTTTGCCACAGTAGATTGTTGCTGATGGTCTCTAGCCAACGGATCTGAAGTATTTTGTGTAAATAACTGTTAATGAATACTTGTATCTTTTGGATGGTAACTTTCGTAGTTCTGCAAGTATCCTACCCATACTATCTTGACATTTGTATTAAAAAAATTTTGACTTCGGTGTTGATTGACAATTTTTTTTTGTGAGTTTCATATGTGCTTCAATTGTAGGAATGATGACGTTGCTTTGTTAATCCATGTCTTAATATACGTATCAGATCCAACATGCTTGTCAGTGATGCTGCTCAGATATGTAAATGTTTCCAAATCCTACAGGGCTTCTCCGTCATGTGTGATTTAGTTTGCGTAAGTTGTGTGGTATCGAAAAATCTTGCTCTCCCCTTTATGCCTGTTGAGACCTATTACTGCTGAGGCTTCTGCTACATTGATCATCTTCATCTGCGTTTTGTTGTTACGAGTACATAAAAATATACGTATACTATTTTTTTATTACGGGGTTGTGAAGATTGTTAAGTTACACATTTTTGAAACCATGAATCGATCAATGTTAGACCACAATTAGAAACCTGGATTCATGGTTTCAAAAATGTGTAACTTAACAATCTTCACAACCCCGTAATGCAAATTACCTGTGCTCACTAGTGACTAGCTTCGTGAGGAATCTTCTCCGAGTTCTAGTGGGAAGACGTGACCAGTGAAGTTCAACCTGTTCGGGTGTAGACAGTAACTACCGAAGACTGTGTATGAGGTTGCGCAACTCCGTGAATTTGATCAAGTTAGACATTAACACCGTTAGATACCGGCCCAGTGGTCTATCGGTTAGGGCGTTCGCGCACAATACCGAAGGTCCTGGGTCCGAATCCTGCGGGGTGCAGGAGTCGTGGATGCGCACTGCTGAGGAGTCCCATACCAGGACGAAACGGCCGTCCAGTGCTTCCAGGTTTCTAATGGTGGTCTAACATTGATCGATTCATGGTTTCAAAAATGTGTAACTATTTTTTTAGTATATAAAGTTATTTTCAGAGCATTTTAAAAAAAAGTCTAAAATTTTTTGAAAAGAATTAAATTAATAAATTCTATTTTTAAATAAACTAAAACACAAACTTTTCCCAATTTTTTTTGTTCAATATTCAATAAAAAAATTGTAGGTACACAATTTCATGTGAATTATGTTTATTTACAATTTAAATCACCACGTCCACATGCTATGATTATACATAAACGTTTCGATGACCAATCGGAATGGACACCATGGGCATATTTTTCAAGTAATTGTTATACTTATTTTGGTATGACATATAATCCTCATCCAATATTTAATAAACCGGATGAATTAATATGTTTTGAAGAATATTCAACATTACAACCATTATATGAAGGTGAAGTGATCTTTTCTGTGATAAATGGACGCCCAAATTATGATAAATTTTTTAATGATGTTGAATTACAAGTAAGTTATGAAATGATTAATTGAATTTTTTTTTATACCTTTGTTTGAAACATAACAGAAAAAGCAAACTATTTATGTGAATAGTATATCTGAAAGTCATTGTTGGTATAGAGTTTATAGCAGCAGCTTCAAAAGTGGTAGGTTTCGACATATACAAGGAGAAGAGCCTTTGATATTACACAATACACACTAAACAAATCATATTTGATGGAGCTGCATTGGAGAATGCAAGAAAGTTTACATATCTGAGCAGCAGCATTGAATGAGCAAAGTGCATATGTGACGGGTATGGATCGGAAGAGCCTGTGCTCCGTTATGGGTAACAGGCATAAGTAACTAAGTAAGTAAGTAAGTAAGTAAGTAAGTAAGTAAGTAAGTAAGTAAGTAAGTAAGTAAGTAAGTAAGTAAGTAAGTAAGTAAGTAAGTAAGTAAGTAAGTAGGTAAGTAAGTAAGTGAGTAAGTAAGTAAGTAAGTAAGTAAGTAAGTAAGTAAGTAAATGCATAAGTAAGTAAATGCATAAGTAAGTAAGTAAGTAGGTAAGTAAGTAAGTAAGTAATTCAGTATTGTTACACGCTTAGAATGTTCGTACTGCTGTATCTTCTATGTCATCAACATCATGTTATTCGGTTTAAATTATCAATGAATGAAACTGATCTATATTTAAGCAAAATGCATCATTACGATGAATTATTTTGTGATAACGAGACTATGGTTCATGAAAATTTAGAAAAAAAATATAGTGGGAATAATTTTTTTTTGTTGACTTAATATATAAATAAAAAAAACAGGAGTTGGCATTTAAATTACTTATTTTCATGATTTTATTAATAAAAGATTTTGAATAAAATACAATCTTATAAATAAATGTAAAATTATATTCGAATGATTTTTAACAATAGAATTGTCGAGATTATTTTGAGTTTCATTGAAACGATGAATTGATCAATGTTAGACCATCATCACTAGAAACCTGGAAGCACTGGATGGTGGTTTCGTCCTAGTATCGAACTCATCAGCAGCGTGCCACAGAGAACTCTGCCAGTAGGAATCGAACGTAGGACCTTTTGATCTCACGTGAGAACGTTTAACCTCTAGACCACTGAGCCGGTAGTATCCAACGGTGTTAAAGTTTAACTTTAATCACTCCACGGCATTGAGCAACCTAAAGCGTCATCTACAATGGGTGACTGCCTTAAACCTGACAGGGTCAATCAATCAGTCAGTTGCAACGTAGAAATTCGTACGTATGTACATAAGTTCATGTTGCCATACCACATTATTAACAGAGACGCAAATGTCAAATCAAATCCCATAGTGATAAAGATAGTAAAGGGAATTAATGGTAATGAAGAAGACTAGGGTTTGAAGATATTATTCAAGAAGTATAATTCAGTGAGATAAGGTTAGAAAGACAAAGGTAGGGGTGCTGACGAATCCAGAAGATTAGGATTTGAGAGAGCACAACGAATGGATGCACTTGCGCCATTGCAAACGATTTTGAGCCATGTCGTTCAAGGTCTCTAACCATTGGTGACTTTCGTCTCGCGGACCCCAACCAGGTAGTCTACATCTACCAACATGACTCAGTCCACTTGTCAGTGACTTCATGGATTTCTGCCATGTTTTGGTTTGGCAGCCCCTAGCTTTCTTCCAATCTACTCCTACACTGCAAAACAAAGCTCGTCGCGGCAGTCGGTGGTTAGGCATACGCAACACATGTCCCAACCACCTCAACTGATGAAGTTTCATTACTTCATCGATTGATCTGCCATTCTTACCTAGCACCCGTTTCCTAACGACAGCATTGCTTACTCAGTTGTCCCACGATATACGAGCAATGCTTCTTAAACATCTATGATCGAATACTAGTAACCTACGAACATCTTCTACTCTTAACGGCCATGTTTCACAGCCATATAGGAGAACGGAGCGAGCTACTGCGCATTACACTAGTCCTTTGGTTAGCGAACTGATATCACGCCTACGCCATAAATGATCGCTTATACCCAGTTGTTAATTCAACCTTGAGTTTCGTAAAGTTCCATAGCACAATTCACTGTTATATATTTCGGAGTTAGGAAAATGGATTCTGCTATTTTCAATTTCGGAAGTATACGAATATAATTTTTACTACTTCATGACAACATAAAGCAAAGAAACTGTCCACAAAAGAAACAAATCTCTAATGTAGTCCTATTACTCCCTAATCCCAATAGCATTTTCGGATTATGCGGTGATTTCGACACATAGCATATTTCTTCACATCATGGTTGGTGTTTATCGTTCAGTTATGAGTAATAGAGAGTAGATATTTTTATAGGGAATATTGTGATGGAGTCTCTTCGTTCTATAAGCTAGATATTCTGGTTGTGGAGCTTCAATTGTTTTTCTGATCAACATCATTAACACAAACGTCAAACAGCAGAAATAAAGTATTCAAATTTCTCCATGTATGAATCGTAGTTTATCCTACTGGCCTCGATTTTGGTTCGTGGTTATTGACCTTAACCCTGACGTTGTTTGCAAATTTGTTTTGATTGGTTGATAAATTGGCTCAATGTCTATGTGTTTGTTGATTGCTGATTGACTTGGGTGTCAAGTTTTAAAAACCGATCTTTAGTTTTCTTTGTACTCCTTTTATCTACTATTTCAACACTTTTTCCAATCGAATATGTGTCCATACTTGTCTATATGCGTTGATATAAGACACGGTATGCTATGGTGTTTGCACGCCAATTGATGTTTACGTGGACGAAGCTGAAGAGGACGTCCAGTGTGAAAAGTCTATTTTGTAAATGATGCTAAGTTTTTCTTCTTTTGTCACCGCAATCATCCAACTGAGTTACAGAATTTCTCAGCCGTCTCGAAAACTATGGAAAATATTATCAACAGTTAATAAATACTTCATGAAATAAAACACTTATGTATTTGAAATGTAGTCTGAGTATCTTTGTTCATTTTCTTAATACTGCCTTACTGATCAGTTAATAATGACAACCAATTTTATCTGTCACAGAAATGAAGAAGTCCACTTCAACAGGATTTCCTATAATAATAGATTAGTTCACGTTTCCATGTAACAAATTGTACTACTCATTGCCTATTCTTTTCAGTAGTATGACAGAAACGATTCAAATAACTTGACAGTAAATCCAAGATAGAATAATAAAATGTAATCACTTATTCATCATCCATTAATCAGTAATATCGATAATAATCATAGGTATTTCAATTTTGTTTGATATGTCCTCTGTTATTTCTTATGCATTTACCACATTAATCTTAAAGATTAATTATTTTTTCTATCAGATCAGTGTTTTTATACACTAAAATAATCAATCAATCATTGTTAGACCACTATTGGAAACCTGAAAGCACTGGATAGCCGTTTCGTCCTGGTATGGGACTCATCAGTGACAGTGCGCATCGACGACTCCAGCTACTCGCAGGATTGGAACCCAGGACCTTCATTCTCGCGCTTAAACGCCTAAACTCTTATCCACTGTCAGGTGCAGGCAGTATCTATCGAAGACAAATGGTTGCGGTCTCGCAAAATATGTAGATTGATTTAAGGCAGACATTAACACTAGTGGATGCCGGCAAAGTTGTCCATAGGCTAGGCGTTGACGAGCAAGACCAAGGGTCACGGGTTCGAATCCTCCGAGGTGCAGTGGTCGTGGATGCGCACTGTCACTGATGAGTCCCATACCAGGACGAAACAGCCGTTCAAAGCTTCTAGGTTTTTAATGGTGGTCTAACTATGATTGAATGATGATTTCAATGTGCGAAAAACACTAATGCTCCATAACTCTAATTAAAAAATATTATCACTGTTCTAACAATACAAATTACTTAACTCAAACTTTCGAAATTTATGCTCAGCACTGAAGGGCTATTTAAGTTTAGTGCTAAAATGTGAAAATTATATTCATCTATTTTATGATTATGAATAATTGTTTTTTGAATATTGTTTTTTCTTTTAAAAAAAACATAGCGTTGGAGTACAGCAAGTCAAATTTTAATTGAATTAAAAAAAATGCATACATTCGGTGATGAACGTGGAGCTGAACGAGACACTCTATTAACATATTATTTTGCTATACAAAAATTAACTGTAGGAGGAAGGTAAGTTCATATACTGTTTGTGTTAAAAATTTTACAGACACATAATGATAGTTTGAATTAATCATCTAGAACTAATACTTACAAACTAACTAACCTACTTACTTACTTACTGACTTACTTACTTACTTACTTACTTACTTACTTACTTACTTACTTACTTACTTACTTACTTACTTACTTACTTACTTACTTACTTATGCACTTACTTACTTATGCACTTACTTACTTATGCACTTACTTACTTACTTACTTACTTACTTACTTACTTACTCACTTACTTACTTACTTACTTACTTACTTACTATAAAACTTTCATCCCTAATGTAGCGTAGGCTATCGATCAGCATTCTTCAACGAATAAACTCTTTCATGATGATTTTTATTATTATTGGTTAAAACTACAAAGGCTTTGTGGATTAGATGATGGAGAAAATTTGTAACTCAGGAAAAATGGTGAAATACTGAAAAGAAGGAGTACAAAGAAAAGAGAATTTTTTTTGGGAAGCGTCGCACTCAAGTAAATCGGTGTTCAACAAACATATCGAAATTGTTGACCTAATTTATCAACCAATCAGAAAAATCATAGACTAAGTCTAAACAGACAAATAATGGTCGGATTGCTTCAATATAATCTCCGTGTTACAATCTTTTGTAGAATAGACTGATCTTGAATAGCGTTGTACTGGAAAGTGAGCGTTTAATCTAATAGGTCTATAAAAATCTTGTCAAAAAATGACTGCATCAAGGATAACCTTTGTAGGATGTACACAAACACTCTGACAAGGAATCGATCAAAGTTTTGACAAAAACTTACCAACTACGAAGTAATTGAATTTCTTCTTACTAATGATAGACAAATAAAAGTCATTTTGATGTCTGTTCCATACTGATACACAAAAAATGAATCCTATAAATAAGAGTATTAAAACCTGGGATGACCAGCTGAAATCTACAATAACAAAGTCAGAATTTCCAATACAAATGTCAAGACAGTTCTACTGTATGGAGTAGAAACTTGGAGAACCACAAAAGCCATTATCCAGGAGATACAAGTGTTTATTAACGGTTGTCTACGCAAAATACTTCGGATTTGCTGACCAGACACTATCATCAACAATGTACTGTGGGAGATTACAAACCAGATTCCAGTAGAGGAGGAAATCAAGAAGAAGCGGTGGAAGTGGATAGGATACACATTACGAAAAGCACCTGTCTGCGTCACAAGACAAACCCTCACTTTGAACGCTCAATGTAAAAGGAAAAGAGGAGCGCCCAGGAACACATAAAGCCAAGAGATAGAGAGACATGTATGAGAAGAATGAATAGAAATTTGCCAGAACTGGAAAATGGAGGCCTAAAACAGGATAGGTTGGAAAATACTGGTTGGCAGCCAATGCTCAATGGAGTATGTAAGTCAGTAAGTAAGTAAGTAACAAGGGGAAATCGAACACCTATGACCTCTGGTTCAGCACTCTAACTTCTAACTGCTAAACTATCTAGCTGGCATTCAAGTGTTCATATCCAACATCAATCCATATATGTGATATTGGATGACCTCCCTTATTCATTGTCTTCCAATATATACCTGAGGACTTGAAATATTAAAATTGAAAAATTATTATACTGCTCTATCTCCTCTAGTTGAATGGAGAAGATTAGGGAGCAAAAATTTGATTCGAGAAGTATAATTCAGTAAGATAAATTTCGAAGGGGAGAAAGGTAGAGGATTATGAGGAATGTAGAAGCTTAGAATTTCATAGAACACAAAGAGTCGATGCATCTGCGCCTGTTGCAAACGATTCTGAGCTATGTCGTTCAAGGTCCTCTAACCATCGGTGACTATCGACCCTAACCAGGTAGTCTACCATCTACCAACATGTCTCAGTCCACTTCTCAGTGACTTCATGGATTTCTGTCATGTTTTGGTTTGGGCCGCCCCTAACTTTCTTCTCAAGTCGAGGCAGGTCCCGGTGGGTTTAGCTTCCTGTGACACATATACCAACCACCTCAAACTGATGAACGTTCATTACTTGATCTATTAAACCTGCCGTCCCTAACTAGAACTCGTTTCCTAACGACAGTATTGCTTATACGGTTGTCTCAGGATACACGAGCAATGCTTCGGATAGACCGACGATCGAAGACTAGTATCCTACGAAAGTTCTCTACCCTAATTGGCCAAGTCTCGCATCCGTACAGTAGGACGGAGCGAACTGCTGCACAGTACACTCGTCGTTAAGTCAGCAAAGGGATATCTCGCCTGCGCCATAGGTGACGCAGGTTGGCAAAAGCCAAACGAGACTTCTGTATCCATGCTGAGATTTCATCAGTCACCAGGCATATCAGCACTGATGGGACTCCCAAGATAAGTGAAGTGGTAAACACACTCGACTACTTCACTCCCTATCACTAGTTCAGGTGCCGATGCAACCCAGTCTTGAAGCAACATTTTGAATTCCGAGGGTGAGAACCGCATCCCGAACATGCTTGCATTGTTGCTTATGGTAGTCAGAAGACTCTGCATCACCAAGTAGGACAATGTCATCGGCATATTCTAAGTCAATAAGCGAGCCACCTGGTAAAAGGTCTACTCCTGAAAATTCAGACGAGGATAAGGTTAATTCTAAGAGCATGTCTATGATAAAATTAAACCAGAATGGAGAGAATGGACATCCCTGACAGACACCACTTGAACATGACATTATGCAATGAATTAATCTCATTGTATTATTTGTTTTTTAGTATAAGAGAAAAAAGAATATAACTAGATTTCAAGTCAACAATATATTATTTTTATTGTATAACAATGAAATTATATAATCATATTACAGAAAAATGTTAAATCATTATTTTTTGATTCTTTAAGAAAAAATGAATAACTCGTTTCATCACCTTAAACTGTCGATAAACTAACCCATAGGTTTACAACATGATATATCTACTCATAATGTTATCTTTAACTTATTATTACTGCGGTTTTATTTAAACTACACTTAAATCGATCGATAGCGTGAATTGCAGGAGGCTTGATTGGATTTCTCTAATTAGCGTCACTTATGGCGTAGGTGAGATATTTGTCAGCTAACCTAAAGAGGAATCTATTGCAGAGCACTTGGCTCCGTCCTACTTCATGGTTATGAAACGTGGCCAGTAAGAGTAGAGGATATTCCAAGGTTACTGCTTTTCGATCATAGATGTCGTCTATCAAGTAAACAATGCTGTTGTAAGGAAACGGGAACTATGTAAGGATGACAGATTAATAGATGAAGTTTTGAAAGTGGTTGGGAAATGTGTTACGAACGCCTCATTGAGCTATGTTTTGTAGTGTAGGAGTAGGTTGGAAGAAAGTTGGAGGCGGCTAGACCGACACATGGCACAAATCCATGAAGTCACTGACAAGTGAACTGAATCCTGTTGATAAATGTAGACTGCTTGGTTGTGGTCCACAACATGATAGTAATCGATGGTTAGAGACCTTGAATGACATGTCTCAAAATCGTCTTCAATGGCGCAGATGCGTCCATCCTTTATCTTCGCTCAAATCCTAATGCACTGGATTCTTCATAATCTTTATCATTTTCTTTATAAGTTTATTTCACTAGATTCTTCTCCTTGAATAAGATATTCGAACCCTAAATCTTTCCGATTACTGCTCATACTTCTATTGCCTCTACCACTATGGGATTTGAATTGACAGTTCCATCTCTGTGCTAATGTGGTATGGCGACGAGGTCTGATGTATGTACGTACGAAGTTCTGCGTTGTAATTGACTGACTGACTGAGATCCACAGGTGACTTTTCCCATGAAATGGAATTGTTGATTTTATTTTTAAAAGATATTAAAGTGTCTTCAATAAGGTTAATGAACATTATAATATTACAAGTACTGTAAAATAAGTTCAAATAAATGCGAATTCAAATACAATTTTCTATTTGTCTAATGTAGATCATTTGAAATGTATAAAATAATTGACGCAAGACTCCTGATTGCCTAAATAAGTTTTCTCACTTTATTACATACATTGAGAAGTGAATTTAAGAAGTATAAAATCTTAACTTCGACACATTTTGAAATAATTCGAAGAATAATCGGATGTTTTTGGTTTAGACACTGATGACCGACCTTAAAGTAGATTAACTTATCAAACTGAACCATTGATTTGTAGTCTGTATTGTATTTTGAATGATAGATAACAGTGTGATTCAGAGTAGTGGTTTCAGCTTGCTTAAGAATAGTTAGAGCTGCATGTACCTGGGTTGTTGTGTTAACGTTCTCACTAAGAATTGTGCTCAGTTCGTGCAAATTCAAACCCAGTGAGTCATTAAAGTCACTATTTTGATTTTGATCATTGTTAAGGTAAAAAATTAGGTCACTTATCACTATCCTTCATCAGGGTTTGTAACTGACGGTAACTCAGGAACTCCACGCACAACTTTTATGAGGTTACTTTCGATGCTAAACCCAGATAAAGGAGGAGGGTTGGACATGGAGTTAGTAGACCCATCCCGTAGAGAACTAACTTGCGGAAAAAGACGTTAACTAGAACAAATAATTCAAACCATTTAAACTGCAACTAGTACTTAGGAGTTAGCTAAAACAAATTAAACACCGAGCTTAAACATAGTCTTAATTAATAAGAAAACACAAACTATTATTTAAGTAGAGTGCAGGCAGTTACCTACCAAAACCAGTGGATGACGTTGCGCAATACTGTGGATTGATTAAAGTTAAACATTGACAATGTTAGATACTAGCTCAGTCGTGTAGAGGTTAAGCGTTCGTGTACGAGACCAAAGATCTTGAGTTCGGTTCCTGAGTGTGAAGGGGTCGCGAATCCGCACTACTGATAAGTCTCATACTAGGACAAAACGGCCGTCCAGTGCTTTCAGGTTTCTAATGGTAGTCTAAAATTACTCAATTCATAATCTCAATAAAATCTAAAATAAATAAATTCAATTAGTTGAGTTAGAAATCAAGTGATCTACATATTTCATCAAGCCGCTATATCAGTTTGAAACAGCTAATCCATTTAATAAATTTAAATAACCTACTGAAAAGACAAAATTTATCTGAACATTGTGGTAATTTTATCGCAATATATTATAGTATCACTGTCAACATCAAGTTACTTACTTGCTTACGCCTGTTACCCCCAATGGAACATAGGCCACCCAGCAGTTTTCTCCAACCAACTGTGTCCTCGGCTTCCCTTTCTAATTCTTTCCAGTTTTTGTTCGTTCTTCTCATGTCTTTCTCTACTTCTCAGCGTAATGGGTTCCTTGGCCTTCCTCTTTTCTTTTCACCTTGACGGTTTCAAGTGAGGGTTTGTCTTGTGACGCAGTTCGGTGCTTTTTGCAGTGTGTCCTATCTGCTTCCAGCTCTTCTTTCTGATTTCCTCCTCCCACAATAGGTTGTTGCTGGTCGTGTCTGATCAACGAATCCGAAGTATTTTGCGAAAACTTGTATCTTCTGGATGATGCCTTTCGTAGTTCTCCAAGTTTCCGCTCCATACAGTAGAACTGTCTTCACATTTGTATTGAAAATCCTGATTTTGGTTTCGGTTGAAAGTTGTTTGGAGTTCCAGATATTTTTCAATTGTAGAAATGCAGCCCTTGCTTTACCAATCCGCGCCCTCACATCTGCATCGGATCCACCTTGCTTGTCGATGATGCTGCCAAGATATGTAAAGGTGTTAACGTCCTCCAAGGCATCTCCATCAAGAGTGATTTGGTTGGTGCATATTGTGTAGCATCGTGGAGTTTTGCTTTTTCCTTTATGTATGTTGAGACCTACTGCTGCAGAGGCTGCTGCTACACTGGTTGTCTTCTCTTGCATTTGTTGTTGCGTGTGAGATAGAAGAGCCAGGTCATATCCGAAGTCCAGATAGTCTAGTTGCGTCCTAGCTGTCCACTGAATACCGTGCTTCTCTCCAGATGTTGACGTCTTCATAATCCAGTCGATCACCAGGAGAAGGAGAAAGGGTGATAGTAAGCCACCTTGCCTGACACTGGTCTTCACCTTAAACGAGTTTGTCAGCTGACCTCCGTGCACGATTTCACAGTTGAATCTATCATAATAATACCGTATGATCTTGACCAAACATTATAGTTAAAAGTCCTTTATTGTCTTAGTGTAAAGTATGTAAACATGTATTTCTTAATAAAATCATGCTTAACCATCACTTTTGACACCAACCAACTTTCGATGTCTAGATGCTTAGATTTTCATTTGAGAAAATGTTTTTTTTTGTGCAGTTACCCAACCAAATAGATATATTCTATGTAAACATGCATTTCAGTTTACAAGCCTAACACTCCGTATCCTGGAGAAAATAGATCACATAAAAGCTAGAATTCCAAGCCAAACGTCAAATTGATTACTGTGGTCTACTTTTGTGAATAAATTGATTAGTATTCTAATTCATGCCATCTTACCTCCTACTCTTTCAGATGTCTTTGTCATGGTCATGGTAATGAATGTAGAAAAAGTTCAGGACCAGGACAGAAAGATCGATTAGTTTGTGTTTGTGATCCAACACATCATACTTCCGGTGATAATTGTGAACAATGTGAATCAGGTTATCATGATAGACCATGGCAACCGGCGACACCACAAAATGCTAATCCATGTATAGGTAAGTGAGTGAGTGAGTGATACGTTTGTTTTGTTCTAAATGTGTATATGAGTATGATAAATAGCTTTTGGTGTCCCTGGGAGCTGATTTTGATATTAATTTCCATGAAATAAATCTCCTCTTCAGTTCCTGTATATCATACTTGGACGAATCCCCGTTCGTGCAAAAGCGGTAATAAGAAGCCATATAAAGGATTCAGTTAGATGATTTTGTTTCAGGCAATCGTTCATACAGACAGACATGAGAATAAAAAGCAGGGAAGCGAAGCGGAGAAGATGAGAGAGACAAGTCCATTCGATGAAGCATGAGTGAGTATTTATAGTGAGACAAAGTAAGACAGACATGCAATAAGCGAGGTAGGCGTGCACACACTCACACTTGAATAAAAGGAAGCAAGGTTATGAGCGAATGACTGATAAGGTCAAAGGACGAATGAATAATAACTTGAGAATAGTGGACTAAACTAATTTGTCCAAAGGCTGGGAAGAAGCCAGTGGGTTTGACATAAAAGTACACACACTACAAGTAATTTTCAGTAGTATGTTGATAAATGTTTTGCTTTTTTTTCTAACAAAAGAGTGATTCTAATCGTGGATATCATCAGTTATAAAGCATTTTTACTATCTTGTCTTTGAAGTTAAGTTTAAAACTTGAACACATTTTCTACTTACTACTGAAGAGGATTACACTATCGATGAGTGCACTATGAAATAAATCAGCAAGATAATTAATAAAACTTGCAAGTAAGTTTATATTACTTACTGTACGATAGAACTATCTTAACTCATAACTTAGTTTAGGCTAGATTGAAGTCATTTGAATTAGAGCGGAGTTATCCGGAGCTACTGATATAAATGTACATAATTACTTATTCGACAATAAGCGATAATCGAAACTAGAATACATGCTTCATTGTAGTGCTATGGTTGTCAACTGAATCTACCGTCTATATTTTCAACTCTGAATAAGCTATTGGATCAAGATATCGATGACATTACTTCCTTACTTACTTATGCGTATTATCCTAAACTGAGCATAGGCCGTCAAGCAGCATTATCTAGCCTACTTTATCATCATCCTTCCTTTCCAGTTCAACCCCATTGATGTTAATCCTTTTCATTTCTGTTTTCGAATCTTGGGACAGTGCATTCGAGGTTTTTTGATCTTTCTCTTTTCTTCTAACCTTGAGTATTCCAAGCGAGGACTAGTCTTGTGGCTTAGTTTGATGATTTCCTAAATGTATGTCCTATCCGTCTCTAGCATCTCTTCCTAATTTCTTCCTCAACTGGAATCTGATTTCTACTTTCCGACAGAAGATTGTTTCTGATTGTGTCTGACCAACGGATTCAAAGTGTTTTGCATGACGGTTGTTGATTAACACTTGTGGGTGATGGCTTTTGTGGCTCTCCAAGTTATCTAGAAATAATAAATTCAGAGTTTGGAGTCAAAACTTTATACAGATTCCTATTTAAAACAAGTACTTTAAAATACTTGTTACTCATTTCACTACATAACCAAGTCATCATAAAATACATCTTACTTACAATACAATAAGGTGTTCACTTAAACAAACATTACTATTACAGAAAGTGAATTACAAATTATAATTCTCAAATAACGAAAAAAATTATCGAAAGCTAGAAATAGACTTTCCTTTCATGAATCGATCAATGTTAGACCACCATTAGAATCTAAGATGCACTGGAAGAACGTTGTATCCTAATGTAGGACTCATCAGAAGTTAACATCCACGACCCGTGCTTGTGGGAATCGAACCCAGGACCTTCAGTTTTGCACAGGAACGCTTAACCACTGTACAACTGAGCTGGCATCACGTAGTATTAATATCTAACTTCAATCAATCCACAGTATTGTGCGTCGGTGGGTAAGTACCTCGCACCCAACAGAATAAAACTCTTCTGGTAACAGTTTCTCACTAAAACTCCGTGGAATTTCTTCACGAAGCCGCTCACTAAGTGAGTACATGATAATTTTCATCATAAGGTTATGGAGATAGTTGAGATTTTATTGAAATCATGAATCACTCAATATTAGACTACCATTAGAAATTTGGAAGCACTAGATGGTCGTTTCATCCTAGTATGACACTCATCAGCAGTGCTTTCATATTTCTAACATTGATCCATTGATGATTTCAGAGTAACTCAATAGTCTCCACAATCCTATGAAGAAAATATTTCACTTCCATCCAAAGATAGTGCTGACGATGTTGTTCAGAAGAACAACAAAAGCTCTACAACCGAAAGATCCAGCTCATAGAACGAAATACCACCACAATCATCCACCTGAGCTATAAATTTTCTCCACCATCTTAAACTAAACATGAGTTCATTGTCAATAATATATGTATATTCACATGAATCGCTGTTGGGGATGTTAGATTCCTCAGAACTCGCTTGATAAATGCCTTAATTTTGGATTTCACGTTTGTGAGCATGAGCTGATCAGTTGGTGACCTTGAGATTTCATTTCCCACCAGGAAAATCCATGGCTGTGATTAGCTGCTGTGTATTTTAGTGTGCTATTTTCTTAACTGTCCAAAAGATGTTTCTATGATGTATAAATAAACGAGAGTTGTGTGCTGCTTGATTGTATTGTGATTGCTGGGTTTTTTTGTAGAATATACTTTCTACGTTTACCAAGACTTCTGTTTTACAGCTTGGGATTCAAGGTAACCTACATGGACACTGGTTCATTGTCTCGTTCGCGTTTATCGACTAAGATGAACTCGTAATAGCTTCCTTCTTCAAGCGTACCAAATGATGAGCATAACAATCGTAACATCATGAGATTCTACTGAAAATATCTATCCACTCCAATTTTTAATCATTCTTCATTTTATTCCTCCTTTATTTTTTTTTTCTACAGCATGTAATTGTAATGGAAATGCATATCGTTGTGAATTTGACTCAGATTTATATAGTCGTACTGGTTCTGGTAGTCGTTGTATTGATTGTGGTAATAATACTGAAGGTATAAATTGTGAACAATGCAAATCTGGCTATTATCCTAATCAAAAACAACCAACTACATGTTTACCATGTTCATGTGATCCAATTGGTACGCTGGATGGTAAAACGGAATGTAATGCTCAAGGTCAATGTCAGTGTAAGCCGGGTGTGGGTGGTAAATCATGTGATCATTGTTTGGAAGATCATTTTGGTTTTAATGCAGGTGGTTGTCTGTAAGTGTGAATACTCCTCAAAAGAAACCATTTATGTTCATATTTATTGATTTTGAAATGGTCTAATTACTCTACCATCTAGTATCTTTATCATACAAGGTAATGTCAAAAATCAATGATTATTGACACTTGAATAAGTAGCGTAATATAATTAATAAATAAGTAACATAACGATACAGTATAGTATGTATGTGAACAAGAAATATTTATCTTGAGTTAATTGACGGTTTGCTCATCAACTGATATTCTTCAAACCATTACGAGTTCACCTTAATCGTTAGAGGAGAGCGGAGACATATGATCCAGTGACACGATAGGCTATTCTGATTCGATTGTCCCAGACCGGGCTAACCATATCTAGAAGTCTTGATATGGTGTAGAAAAAATTATTCTACAAGCACTGTTACGCCTGCAAGTAAACACGTCAACTTAATATACTTGAAATATTACGAGTTTACCTGGTCAGAAACGAGAGCGAGGGTCGAGGATCCGGTGACACGATATGCTACTCAAATCCGATTATCCCCCAACCCCCATATCCAGTGAAAATAAGAAGACGTGATTTGAAGTAGGACCTCTATTCTACAAGCATCCAGAAAGTACGAGGTCCGAATCCAGAAGAGAATCAGGATCCCGGACTGAATATCTGGGACCGGGTCCTGGTCATAAAACGTTACAAATAATGCGTATTTATACAATTTAGTCGAATAGGAAACAGCATCGAAGTCTGTGACGTTGATAGTTAATACGACCAATAGGAAGCAACATTTGAAGTTACATTGATAGTCAGGACAACCAATAAGAAACAACATTGGAGCACGTGACATTGATATCTTGGACGACCATAAAATTGACCAGTAGGAATTAACCAATAGGAATAGACCAATAATTCTCTTAAGATCTTGGATGAATATCCTAACAAGCACCCAGAAAATACGAGGTTGACAAGCACACAAATAAGGCTTATTCATACATGATATAAACGTTCTTATGGAGAGCCACAAAAATAGGGTACATCAACTAACGACGGTCAAGGACTTTCCGAGTGGGAAATGTAATCTCAGGATCGACTGAGCAGCTTATGCATGAGAACACAAAAAATCCAACATTAGGATCTTTTCCAAGTGAATTCTGGAGATCTATCGTCCACAACACCTATCTTACCGAAGCTTGTTTCCTCCCGATCGAGCAAAGGCTGCCGACCAGTGTTCTCCAACCTACTCTATCCTGGACTTCGCTTTCCAGTTCTGTCCAATTGTTGTTCATTCTTTTTATTTTTCTCTATTTCTCGGCGTAATGTGTTCCTTAGCCTTCCTCTTTCTCTTTGAACTTGAAGGGATTCACGTGTATGCTTATCTAGTTACACACGGTTTGGCTGCTTTCCGCAATGTATTTTCTATCCATTTCCAGCGATTCTTCATTTTACAATAAATAAACAGTTGAAAGAGGTACTCATAAGAAAAATAAATGACTTACATAGGCTTTTTCTCAAGAGATTCGCTCTTTTGAACATGGTATAATGAGCGTCACGTTCAAGTTATTCATTAAAAGTCTATTCTCTCATTATCTTTTAAGCTAAATTATTTCGACTCATAATAATAACAGCACATAATAAGATGGTGCTGCTGAGTTGGATGACTGTGGTGAAGTTCCGTTATCTGAGCTGGGTGTTTTTTGGCTGTGAAGCTTTCTTCATTGTTCTCCTGCTGAATTAAACATCATTAGCACAAATTTCAAATAGTAGAAGTCAAGTATTCAAAATTCTCCACGTATGAGTAGTAGTTCTTGTTCTGTTCAACTCGATCAATGATTGGTTGTTGTTGTTGTTGACCTTCAACCTGTCAAAATACTGTTACGAATCATGTCTTAACGGTAGAAATATAAAATCACTTTCAATACTACAAAAAGAAAGACACTTTTAAAGATCTTAGCTTAGTTTAAATACAACATGACTAATGAGACTATGATACACACAGGGAGAGAGAGAGAGAGAGAAAATAACAGATGATATTGAATAAAGGCTGCTTTATCGTTGGGGGCGTTAGATCCCCAGATCTCCTAATTCTGAATTGTATGCTTTCGCGCGTGGACTGATCAACTGACCTTCCCACTCAGAAAATACTTGACTGTAATTGTTGGTTGATGTATTATTTTAGTACGCTATTTTTGTGGCTCTCTCCTCAAGGACATTTCTATCATGTATAAATAAGTACTATTCGCTTGCTCGTCGATCTCGTATTTTCTGAGTGCTTGTAGAATACACTTTCTACGCCATATCAAAACTTCTTCCATTACTTAGTGGGACATTGGGACACTCGGATTAGAGTAGCCTGTCGTGTCACTGGATAATTTGTCTTCACTCTCGTTTACCGAGTAAGGTGAACTTGTAATAGTTTCAAGCATATCAGTTGACTAACGTATCATGTATGTAATGTATTTGTTTCAGATCCAAAATATTCATGATTACCGTTTGATTTTATTAGTGAGTGAATCCATTTTAGGGTTATGGAGATTAGTGTTTTTACAAATTGAAATCATCGATCAATCAATCATTGTTAGACCTCCATCATTAGAAACCTAGAAGTACTGAAAGCTGGCTGTTTCGTCCTGGTATGGAACCGACTCATAGGCAGTAAGCATCCACGACTCCTGCTACTCGCAGGATTCGAACCCAGGACCATGTGGTGTTCTAACAATGAATGATCTTCATAAGAATCGATATGGTTTTAACGATACTAGTTAACAAATTGAAGCAAAGCTTCAAACTAAAATGAAACAGATATTTGCCAATGATTTTACATCATGCCTTGGTTTTATACCTATATAATCACAAAAAAATCAGGATCTAAAAATCAATGTCATAGATTTATGAAAATAGTAGTAATAATAATAATAATTTCATTTGAATTTTTTGATTTTAGACCATGTAATTGTAATGAAGGTGGTAGTTATGAAAATCGTCCAGCATGTGATTCACAAACTGGTCAATGTATATGTAAACAAAATGTAGCCGGTAAACAGTGTGATAAGTAAGTTAGTTCTTTGCAAAAATTGATGTGACATATAAATTACTGCCCAGTTTTTTGTTTATCTAATGGTCTTGTGAAGATTTTTTTCTCTATCCATTATGAATACAGTTTACATCGATAATTGACATGACCTTAAGATATATTAAGATCAAACAATACAAGAGAATGTTAGTTTGGTGACTGGTGTATACAGTTAACATTAGTTGGCTAAAAGTTGTCAGTGGAAAACTACATTCGACCTAGGAGCATAGTTAGTTGATGCTTATCAGCAGTGATTACCTGGAATTATTGTTATCTGCTATACTGCTATATAGAGCTGAATCAGCTGGTACGGGTATGAGGGTGAATGTCACTTTCGGGCTGCTTCTTAAGGGACCCGAAAAGGAAGGTAGATTGCTGTTGGTCTTGGAGACCTGGGAATGTGACCGCAGAGCCCAAAGGACAACTGCTTGAGGCCAGTCTAGCGCGGCCTTTTTGTTTTTGAAGTGTTAGCTCCGTCCTTTTTAAAGGCCCCTACCACCGGAGACGGAAATCTTTGAGGTAAGGTGTGTGACATTTTTGGGGTCGACCTTTTTTTCTAACATCTTTCTTCCTTGTGAGAAGGCAGCATCGCTGCAGACGCTCGTCGTCCGAGGGAAATGCCTTACTGATGTCACACCCCTCTACTGTCAGCAGTACGACTTCGCCCTCAGACGTTGAGTAGCTGTTTTTAGTCTCGTCGCTCTGCAATCGACCTACCTAGCATGGAAGGACATACAGGAACATATGTTCCAGCCAATATAGGTAAGCCTGACCACCAAATCAAGGTAGCAGCTACGGTCTGTATATAGAGCTGAAGGTTTCCTATGAGACCAGGGGTTCGCTGTGAACATCGTGAATGGTTTGGCATTGCTTAGTCAAGTACTGCTAACAGTCCATATAAAAAGTTAGTTAGCAGGGTGACCGATTTCATTGATACTGATGGTTATTTTGCAACATTCTCGAGGTTCATTGCCATTGAGGTGCTGTGTTGCATGTCACTATTGCTAACAATAATGAGTTTGTCAGTCATGTAAGCGGGATGGGTCGAAATGGCCTGTTCATGAGGTGCATATTGATTGACGAGATGATGGATCGGAAATAATCACTATATATGTACTATTGCATATAAATGGTGTGAATGGTCCATCAAGGTGTTAGGTACCTGTGTGGTTGCACCACTGGTGGAGACGAACTGTTCACGTTGAAATACTAACACGTGGGCAGTCTCCTTGTTTCTCCTGAAAACCAATGTAAAATTACCCTTTCCAATAGAGGGGTAATTTAAATAATTGTTAATTGTGTGTTATCTATGGGACTTAAACCAGCGTCATATAATTTTGCAGTTTTAGACATTACCAGTGACCTATATAAGAAACGACCACTATTTTGTAGAATTGAGATCATTCACTGATTGATCACTGAGTTATAAACGAATCATGTTTATCAACTCCTTTCGTACTGATCAAGTAAAATCGAACAACTTGAACTAAGGAACTAAATAAATAGTATGCTAGTCACTTAGAAATAATCTGTAGTAGAATTAGTTCGCAGCCTAAAATGCTGATATCATTTGTTTTTCTGAATTGCCGTCAAATGTTAAACTTCTTTGACTTTTGATGGTCTACTTTTTCTTCTGTAGATGTAAAATTGGACATTATGGTCTAATGTCAAATGATCCACTTGGTTGTAAACCATGCCTATGTTCATTACATTCATCTGAGTGTAGACTAGACGAAGAACATTTAAGTGTGCTGGCTGGTAAACCTGGTAAGTAGAATATTGTTCCACTTCTGTCTAACTGTTGTTCATTCTTCTCATGTCTGTCTCCATGTCTCGGCGTAATTTCTTCCACAGCCTTCCTCTTTTCCTTTGATTTTAAGGATTCTAACTGAGGGTTTGTCTTGTGATGTAGTTAGGTGCTTTCTTCAACCTGTGTTCTATCCACTTCAACTAATTCTTCCTGATTTCTTCAGGAGCCCCTTTAGGGGGCTCTAAGAGTTGGAAACCTCATCCCGTAGAAACCTAACTCGCTAAAAAACGCTAACCATTTCTCGGATTATGTTCTGTATAGTTTAACAACTACTGTAAGTCTAACGTACTTATTTTAATTATCCTGGTCCTGTCTCCAACATTGAACGAACATTCTATGTACATATATTAATGATTTCTCTAGTTATCAGAAGGGGCATAGGCCTTTGTGACTTTTGGCAAAACTCGGCTTTCATCATGAGACGTCATGACTTTTCTAAATGAACACCCTCCAATTCCCAAGGGAGATTTTGTATAGTTTGAATTATTTGTTCTAGTTACCGTTTTTTAGCGAGTCAGTTTTCTACAGGGTGTGGTCACTAACCTCATACACAACCATCCATCTTTATCCGGGCTTCGAATCGTCAGTAACCTCAGAAGGGCTCTGGAAAGAGTACTACTTAATTACAGCCAGAGAGGACTTCTAGAATGTCGACATAGGTCACACTGATTGAATAGTTGTATAACATCTGTCTATATGCGGACCAGACGATTACAATGAATGATGTTTTCAATTTTTATGAAAAATTATAAATACACATGGTTTTCCTGTAGATTTTAACACCTACCGAAGTAAACAAGTCTTCGCCGCTTTTGATTTGCAAATTGGAGGGTTCCATAAGTTCTATCGCGAAAGTTGCATACCGCAATAGATGTATCAAATAAATAACTGAAGAGGAAAGTTGAAGGGTCACTTGGAAAGTCTGTCAAAAGAAGTCATTGTAAATTGATGGGCTTTAATTAATGGTGTAAAATCATGTACTTGATATACTTAACTGCATTGTACGATCTAAACTGAGGTTTGAACTGAGGAATAACTGTCTAGGTAGTTTAGATACGTGCCATTGCCCAGTTGAAATCAAAACAATTGAATTGAGTAAATGATGGTTCTAATATTCATCATAAATATAAATATACATCATTAACTAAACATTATTACCACTCAATTAATTATTCCACCAACAACTGTTCAATTAATCAAATCTACAGCAACAAATAAATGTTATTCTATCCTTTCTGGATAGATCAGATTCGTTCAACGGATAATATTTGGTTACTTTATAACATAGAGTGTTTCCTGTTCTGAAAGAGTGCTTCAATTCACAATCGAAATGCACAATTCCAGTCAGTAGCAAGCAATCCAATCAAAAGTGGAACAAATCAATATGGCCGTCGTCATGACTAAGTATCAGCTTAAACAATATAAGTGCAGTTCAGAAAGAAATACATAGAAACTCAATGAAGGCAGAAGAAATAGAAACTATAATAATAAATACAAATATTATCATCTCCGAAATGGAATCGAACAGACTAACAGACTAAATGTACAACTGAAGGAATCAATAAGGACACATGACAAATATGTACATTGAGGGATTTTCACAAACAAAGCCTTCAAAAATAGATCTAACATGTATTAATAATGGTGATGACACTATTCATAAAATCATGTGAAAAATGCACAAAAAAATGTCTTAGTTGTTGTGATTAACTTATTTAAATTCAAAAAGGGGAACTAATTATACAATCATGAAATGAATTAACAAAGATGATTGTAAAACATAAAATTCATCACGCATAACTTTTTTGTTACCTTTGAAACCTAATGAAGACCGTGGAAAACTATCGCATTGGAGAAAATCCAGAAGTTACCCTTTATCATATTTGAGATTTGTTAGTCGGATTCACCTGCAATCATAGAGTTGACGTTCACTGCATTCACTTCAAACACCCTTGCGTTATCCACTTTTCTATTGAGTTTGGATGTAAATTCACGATATAATAACTACAATAGAGTTAAGATCGATTGTATTACAGTCGAAAACTTAACAACGTCATTATCTAAACCATCACAATTTAAATTATATCTCATAAAAATTTATCTCACTTATTTAATATTTATTTTTAATATTTTAGAATAAAATTCACTCACTGTCTAATCTTACAAACTAAAATATTGAACACTGAAAATGTTATTTAAACAAAATCTTTGTTAGATAAAAACAACCATATTGAATTTGAAATTTAAAACAACAAGACAATAATTGATAAAATAAATCAATTGACATTTCACAAGGTAGATCAGTGATCTATCTATAGGTTAAGTGTTTACATGTGAGACCAGAGGTTCACAGTTCGATTCTCGCCAGGTGCAGGAGTCGTGGGTGCGCACTACTGATGAGTCATATACTAGGATGAAACGGCCGTTTAATGCTTCCAGATTTCTAGAGGTAGTCTAACGATGATCTTGATGAATTTCATACTAGTTATCCAGTCAGCATTATTCCGTTTTTCAAAAAATAAAAATTTTTAACTCACATTTTCTTGACTATTACTGAGTATTTTATTTTCTAAAATAATAACAATAAAGCTAGATTTACTCTTCTCAGCCTTACAACATATTCCTACCTTAATTTTTTTTCCTAAGGGGAAATTATTCCATTGGAAAGTTTAGTGAAACCAGATCAAACGATTATCAATTGTCCATTGAATCAGAAACCATGTTATACATGCTTACAAAAAGGTAAATCATTAATAATACATTATTTATATATTCAGCTAACTCTCGTTTTTAAGAAAAAACAACAGCTCAGTTATTTTAGAAATATATATATCTAATGAATACTGAATAAATTTATAGCTGACGAATCCCGTAAAAGGACGAAACACATGTTGTGGATTCCACTGCTAACCACTAATCACCTCCGTTAGAGAATGAAAACATTCCAATGAGTTTTTGAAGGATTCAATGTGATAGTTTTGTACACGAAACTAAGGCTTAAAAATTCATTTAACTCTGAATGAATGGCAGTGACATAGTTTTGGTCGAAAAATGTCACTAGAATATGGTAAGTGTTACATATTTGTGCGGTTGATCACTTGCTTTATAATGGGACGATTCTTCAAGTCGTATTTAAGAAGAAACTTGCTTTATGTAACGGATGTAATCTGCTCCTTGAAAAGAATTACATATGGTGTTGACATATACACATTTACAAATCAGAAGTGAGCCAAAGAAATTCATCCGAAATATCAATATCATAAAAAAGTTTCGAGATGGTGGAGAAAACTTGCAGCTCAGGCGGATGATTGTGGTGATGTTTCGTTCTCTGAGCTGGTTGTTTTGGTTGTGGAGCTTTCATTGTTCTTCTGAACAACATCATCAGCACAAACTTCAGATAGAAGTGAAGTTTCCTCATAAAACTAAAAATCTTTCTTTTATCTACTATAATGCCTCTTTTTTAAACGTTTATGTTTATATATATATGGAATAACTTAATTTTACCAATAAAAGATTAAAAATTTAGTGTTTTTACCAAGCTAAGATGTCCCTAACCTGTTGCTGGGGACGTTAGATCCTCAGAACTCACTTGGAAAAAGTCCTAATTTTGTAATTTATTTTTTTCATGTTTTCGCGCCAACAGACCTTTGGCTGACCTACAGCTTACATTTCCCAATCGGAAAATCCTTGACTGTCATTGGTTGATGGATTATTTTAGTATGCTATTTTTGTGGCTCTCCCAAAGACGTTGCTGTCATTGTATATATAAGCTTGATTTGTGAGCTTAGATACCTCATATTTTCTGTGTGCTTATGGAATACATTCTGTACGCTTTATCAAGACTTCTAGATCTAATTAGTAGGGCCTGGGACAACAGATTAGAATAGCTTATCGTGTCATTGCTGAGTCATTGCTCTTTGTTCCGTTTTGCCGAGTAAAGTGAACTCATAATAGTTGCAAGCATATCAGTTGGCGAGCGTGTCACTTGTTCATAAACGTTTATCAATAACTATTCAACTGTTTATTGTTTTCCGCAATTGATTACTGCTAATACTTCTACTACCTCTAATACTATGGGATTTGAATTGACAATTGCATCTCTGTGTTAATATAGTATGATAATTTGAACTGATGTCCGTAGGTACGTACGAGGTTTTACGTTGTAACTGACTGATCAGTGTGATTAGAAAGATTCTTTATGATATTTAGAAAGTTTTGCACTGAATTTTATGTGATATGAATAAGATCTAAATGCAACTCTGATACTAATAGCTACAAGCTTGAATCATGAATGTACCGCATACCCTTTCAAAGCTCCAGATATTCTATGTTAATGTCAGTCAGTTTGTTGGGGATGTTAGATCCCTAGAACTCGGTTGATAAATGCCTTAATTTTGGACTTCGCGTTTGCCAGCATGGGTTGATCAGTTGACCTTGAGATTTCATTTCCCACCAGGAAAATCCTTGGCTGTGACTGGTTGCTGTGTATTTTAGTGTGCTATTTTCTTAACTGTCCCAATGACGTTTCTGTGGTGTATAAATAAACGCGGTTGGCATGCTTGAATTCATTGTGTTTGCTGGGTGTTTGTAGAATATTCTTTCCTACGCGATATCAAAACGTTTCGGTTAGTTATCGAATCAGGGTAGCCTATCTGGACGCTGATTGATTCATTGTCTTGTTCGCGTTTATCGACTAAGATGAACCTGTATTAGCTTCAGCGTACCTAGTGACGAACCTAGCACAGTTAATTATTGAATATGAATTCTAGGCTTGCAACCTCCGGTCAACGATTGCCTAATTTACTTGATATCAAAATGTTATTTCAAAAAATAGATTTCTAGCAACTTTTTATTCAATATTCAAGGAATTCATTTTTCTGAACTGACAAAAATTTTATGGCGATATTTAATAAATGAGGATTTTAGACTGAAAAAAAAACTGTCAAATATTCAGTAAGAAATACATTTTAAAAATTTACACATGAATAATGAACTAAGTGTTGCGTTATTTAAAAAAGAATTTACCATTGAAAAATTCATTTCAAAACCAACTGACATTAAATGTCAGTGGCATTTGAAATATGAAAATTATTAGATAAGTGTATTTTAGGTGAACGAAACATGTATTCCTTTTAGTGTCCTCTATTTAATATAACCTTTATTTATAGCAAGCAGTTAAATAAGGTATATGAAAACTCGATTTCACAAAATATGGACAATTTCTCAAAGTAGTACACTAAATGAATGAATGATATTGTGATGAGGCGCCGAAAACTAGCTGACAACGTTGTCGCTTGTTGTTCTTAAACTTCCAGCTCTTCATTGACTGGGATGAATAAACTGTTGCATGTGTCCAATGTTAGACCATACATAATAACATGGTATCCGTTTATTATGAACTGTATTTCCGACATAACTAGCAGAAGTGGATAGTATCTAGCTTTGGAATTCAAGAATCACGTTTCGTCATATTTAGGATTCGTCATCCAGGTGTTCTTCACTTTGGGACTTGAACCCAGTACCACGTTATTATTCACTTGACTATATTTTCAACAGTTTACCTTCAAAGATTATTTCACTTTTTCAAAGTTTTTTTGTTTTCTAGAGCCAAATTCTTAGTCTAGAAAGGCATTAAAATCTTACTGAGAGAACACAAGACTTTCAAAATCCTTATATCAAGCTACAAAATATTCTCGATTATGTATGTTGTTTAAAATATTACATTGTAGTAATAATGATAATACTTGTGGTGGTGTTTCGTTCTCTGAGCTGGTTGTTTTGGTTGTGGAGTTTTCATTGTTCTTCTGAACAACATCATCAGCACAAACTTCTATCTGAGCTACAATTTTTCCCCACCATCTCAATGTTAATATTAATAATAATTATAATCAATATTCTTCAATTATTTTTTATTTATAGACAGACAACATATTCAAATTGGATGTAATGGTACAACTGAAGGTTATCTACCGTGTTTATGTGAAGACGATCCAAATCAATGTCCATATTGTCCATCAGGTAGATGATGTATTTACATATACATATATATATATAACTCATTAAACATTTGTATACTTGTTTGTCAATGCATAAACTATTTTCATTATCAAGTGATATTATTATTGTATTGAAAACAAGGAAACACAAGGTATATTCAGCAAAAATTCACTCTATTTCATTTGACTTCATCAGTACATTTTTTGGTGGCCGCGTTGAATTAGACGTAAGGCTCACCACACTTTAGTGGTCCATGATTTGACTCAAGTTTGGATTAATGATCGAATATTCTTTGCTTACTTCACGCTTTTTACCCCCCAATGAAGCATTGGTCGCCGACCAATTTTCTCCAACCTACTCTGTTCTCAGCATCCTTTACCGGTTCTGTCCAATTTTTGTTCATTCTTCTCATATCTGTTTCCATTTCTGGGCGTAAATTAGTTCCTTGACCTTATACTTTTCCTTTGATCACGGGGATTTCAAGCCAGAGCTTTTCTTGTGAGGCAGTTGGGTGCTTTCCGCAATATATGTCCTATCTACCTCCAGCGCTCCTAACTGAATGATCGAATATGAGATGAAATAATATTTTTCCTCCAATTTCCATATATCCTGGTTTGTTGGACGGTGTTATTAAGAAGCAAAATTCGGATTCCGTTGAATTAGTTTATTTCATGCAATAGTTCAGGCAATTAGACATGAAAAGCGTAAAGGCGAAGCACAGCGAAGTGGAGAATGGTGAATGAACCAACTCAATGTATTTATAGTCAGAAAAAATGAGCTAGACATGTCATAAACGAGTAAGCAATGCACACACACACACTCAAATAAAAAACCAAGGATATGAGCGAATAAGAGACAACGTCGAAAGACGAGAGAATCATAACTCGAACGGAGTAGATTAAGTTAATTTGTCCAGAGGTTGGGACACGGCCTGTAGGCTCGATATCTTATTATTCACGGAACAAAATATAACTGATAATCATTGAAACACTGATTTCCAAATTGATTACCTGAGCAAAATAATATTCATATGCCTAATAATGGTTAGTTTTGGGAAAAATTATCCAAAATTCTAGTTAAAAATGTGAAGTTTGCGTTTTAATCCGACTAGGCAATGCAATATACTAAACAAAATGTTGATTATTAGTATTCTATTCAACCGGTAGAAAGTGATAACTTCAGTTTACAATCTGTTGTAGGCTATGCAATATGTTGGTTTAAGTGTCTACAATTGGCATAGAAAACTCAAGCAAATTCGATACCCCACTTTCAATGTTCATTTTTGTCGATAATAATATTTTTTTATCTGTTACGCAAATCCTTAAGGAATGTCCGAAGTGAGAAACCTCGGATTCCTTGATGGTGATGAAAAACCATATTAATTTTGAATTTAAGGGTTTGAAAATCGATAAACTTGGACACATATATATATTTTTGAAACTATGAACCGATCAATGTTAGACCACCATTCGAAACCTGGAAGCACTGGACGGCCGTTTCGTCCTGGTATGGGACTCCTCAGCAGTGCGCATCCACGATTCCTGCACCCCGCAGGATCCGAACCTAGGACCTCCGGTGTTGTGCGCGAATGCCCTATCCAACAGACCACTGAGCCGGTATCTGACGGTGTTAATGTCTAACTTGATCAAATTCACGGAGTTGCGCATCCTGCGGGGTGCAGGAGTCGTGGATGCGCACTGATGAGGAGTCCCATACCAGGACGAAACGGCCGTCCAGTACTTCCAGGTTTCTAATGGTGGTCTAACATTGATCGGTTCATGGTTTCAAAAATGTGTAACTTAACAATCTTCACAACCCCGTAATGCATATATATACATACATTATTGTAAACAAGAGTTATTTCCATGGATTTTCTGATAACAAGCAGTGTTTTCCGGAATAGATGCAAACTGTTTAACTCATCATGCTAGTAAATTACAGCTTTTAGATTAAAAGATACTTGCACTTATTAGTAAAAGGATGTGGAGATTGATGATTTTCATTGAAACTGATTAATGTTAGACCATCAATGGAAGCCTGGAAGTATGGGATGACCATTTCATCCTAGTTTGTGAGACATATCAGAAATGTACATTCTGAAAATGGGAATCGAACTCAGGACTGTCAGTCTCGTTCGTGAATGTTTGACCTATTGACCAATGAACTGGTATCCGACAATGTTAATATCGAAGTTAGATTTTGATCACATTTTGCAATACTAATTCAAGATTCGGTATCATTGAAGGAAACTGGCCTAAATAAATTCACAAGAAGTGTAATAATTAAATATAAAACTCATTCAATTAAAAACCAAATTTTAATCAGAATATGAACAGAAGTCTTTTGTATAAATTACTTTTCCTTAATCCCTAATCATAAACTTCCTGTTTTCTAAACACATTATTTCTCTTACTTTCACTTATTCTGTTATCAATCTTTTAACTTTTTAAGCTGTATTCTAACTGATCAAATTTCTTTTCAATGATAACATGTCTTTTTGAACATGTTACATAACTCATTTTTGAGATGAAGGAGAAAATTTGCAGCTCAGGTGGATGATTGTGGTAGTGTTTCATTCTCTGATCTGGATGTTTTGGTTGTGGAACTTTCATTGTCCACTACGTAGGACAGAATGGAATGCCTCTTTAGCTTCGTTTAAGGGAACACCAATTAGCAGTCAAACGCCACGACAATTCCTCAATACCAACAATTATGGACATACATTCAATTGGGATAGTGTGGAAATACTGGATAGGGGGAGGACAGAGAACACTAGAGAATTTTTAGAAGATTGGCACTCACACGTCAATCAGCAATCAACAAACACATCGACAATGACCCAATTTATCAATCAATAAGAAAAATCATAGGTGACATAAGATCAGCAAGAAATAGATCAAAAGGGGGATACAATCAAAACAAACGTGCAAACATCGACAGGTTTAAGGTCAACAATAACCAATCAAGATCGAGGTTAGCAGATCAAGCTACAGGTCAAACTTCTATCCAAAGTTTCTGCTGATGATGATGTTGTTTTCAGCAGAAGAACAATGAAAGCTCCACAACCAAAACATCCAGCTGAGGGAACGAAACACCACCACAATATAATTCAATCTCATAATTGTTATTTGTTAACAAATTTCTATAATGAACTTGTTGATGAATGTATGTGATTTTATTACGAGCATTTATGGTTTTCCGTGATCAGAATAGGATTATTTCAGATTTTGTTTATCCTGGCTTCTCTATCACTACTATTTTTTCAAGTCAGTTACTTACTTACTTGTGACTGTCACCCCTAATAGCAGATAGACCACCAACCATCACTCTCCAAACCTACTCTGTCCTAAGCCTTCTTTTCTAGTTCTATCCAGTTGTTGTTGTTGTTGATACTTCTTATGTTTGTTTCCATGTCTCGGCATAATGTGTCTTTGGGTCGTCCTCTTTTCCTTTGACCTTGAGGATTGCAAGTAAGGCCTTGACTTGTGATGCATTCGGGTGCTTCCCTCAATGTGTGTCCTATTCACTTACAGTGTTTCTTCCTGATTTCTTCCTCTACTGGGATTCGGTTTGTTCTCTTCCTTTTTTAGTAAATTATTGTTACGAAAATATTGTAAATTTTGTAAAGAAATTATATGTTGACAATGGTATACCTTTCAAAATGGCATCTCAATACAAAGTATTTTTTTCAGTGAGTGGCTTAGACTTCAAAATGTCATTTTATTTAATACGGTTATTAAATTCTTTGTTATTTAATATTTCACAGGTTGGCGTACACCACAAACTGATCCACGTTCTGAAATATGTACATGTCCTCCACAATACACGGGGAAATCATGTGAATACTGTGCTGATGGACATAGACGTGATCCACCTGGTGGTCTTACTACTGATCGATGTATATTATGCACTTGTAATAATCATGCTACACGATGTGATCCTGAAAGTGGTAAGCATCTAAATCGAATTATATTCATTTTATATTTTAATAGTTCTGTGTTTAAAATATCAATCTATCTATCTATCTATCTATCTATCTATCTATCTATCTATCTATCTGTCGTGATCATCCTTCAATCTCTGATGCAGAAAATATTTATTTTCTCCGGTATGGCTGAGAGTAGGAAGAGTTCGCTCACCCTCTCCAAGTATTCTCTTATGACCACTATCAGGAAAGTCCTACTTATTGCTTTCTAGTGACAGGGGTGTTGTCCAAGGAATCGAAAGAATGAAAAGCAAATATCTGACACTTTAACCAGGTTGGTAGATACGGACAATTCGTACAGAGGAGTTAGTAAACCTCTATATCCAACTGATGTTTAACATGGGCCACAGGATTCTGATGGGAAACAAATAGTGTAAGAACTTGTTGTTGGTCACCGACCACTATGGAATAGCACCCCTAACGTTACCGCACTGGTTTGTCGATTAGACCTTTATGTCTAAAGACAACACTTTTTTTGGTTTGAGAATCTGAGCAGTACTCTAGTGAGCACACAAATTCATTGATCTGCCTGGCGCATATATATTTCGATGCTCCTATCTAACGATAAGCATGTACTTAGATAACTATTCTATAGTTAGTGTGATTTGATTTTGATTACGAAAGAGACTTGTAACACATAAGATACCGAATAATTGATTCGATTGGTTAAGCATTGACCAAGAAACCTTAAAATCCTTGATTTGATCCTAAATGAAGGTTCAAAGGGGCAAAATATTTCGGTGTCTAGCTGTCCTAGGGCAAAACTATTTTTTTTAGTGCTACCTAGTTTTCAGTCAGTTGGTCATTCAGATACAACGTAGAACTTCGTACTTATGTACATCATCAGTCCAAGTTGACATACCACATTAGCACAGAGATAACAATTGTCAGTTCAAATCCCCTAGTAGTAGAAATAGTAGAAGTATTAGCAGTAATGGAGAAGATTAGGCTTTGAAGATATGATCCAAGAAGTATAATTCAATGAAATAAATTTAGAAAGAGAAAGATAGCGGTGATGATAAATTCAGAAGATTAAAATTTCACAGAACACAAACAGAATGAATACACCTATGCCATTACAAACGATTTTCAGCCATATCATTAAAAGTCTCTTTAACCATCAATTACTATCATCTTGCCAACCTCAATCAATTATCTAATTTACAAATACTACTCAAACTAAGATCAATTAGTTGATCAAAACCACTACCTGAAAATTAAACTAGTTATTCTGATTGATAAATAATTCATTGTATATTCTCCAAAGTGTTTTAATAATTTTCGTATGAAAATTCACAATCTTCATAATATTATTAGTTAGTAATCGTGCAAACAATCGTAGAGCTCATATTGGCAATGACCTTAGAACAATGAAAAGTTGACTAGTGGTTAATAGTAATAATAATTATTCATGTCGTATACAGACAATAAAAGTAATCATTACAATAACTTCGTATTTTTTCCTGTCAAACTAAACGTAATCATCATCATCATCATAATAATAGTAATAATAACATTAATTGTAGTCGCCGTAATAAATGAATGATTCGGCTTAATGTGTACCTAACTGAAATCATTATGTTTATGATTATTACTATTATTATTATTATTATTATTATTATTATTATTATTATTATTATTAGGATAGTGGTTATACAACACACACACACACAGGCGCGCATACACACATTTAACCAGATAACAATCATTAAGGTCATCATTATTGGACGCTTACTTCCGGTCTATGTTTTTCACTGCTGAACAACAGTAGTGCGTAACTTGCATAATTCACGTACATATTTACTTACATATATGCTAAACATATGCTACCTACTGTATTCCTTAATTAATTAAGAATATGGTCAGTGTGTAAGAGAAACTTGAATACCATTCACTGCATTTACTACTACTACTACTACCACTACTATACGTAAAATTATTCGTTTTCATTGACTCTAGTGTGTATAGGAGAGAGTATAAACAAAGGACGTTATTATTATTATTATTTTTCCAGCCGGTTTATTCAACCAGATAGACATATTCGGGTAATTATTTGTACACTTACATAATATATAAACATATATATATTCTCATTTTAATTTACATGCGTTGTTAGTTTGACATACAAAAAAAAATTCCGAAATTGTAATATTATTTGAAATTACAAACATTTTATAGTGAATAGTTTAAAACAAATTATCATTATGATTATGATTGCTATGATTCAGGTTAGATTGAATGGATAGATTAAATTTTATAAGATAGTTACATGCGAAAAAATGTCATTGTAATTTATGAATAGAATCAATCAATGCTTTGATTAAATCTAAGGATGAAACCATGAATCGATCATTGTTAGACTACCCCGTTTAGAACCAGGAAGTACAGTAGAAGACAGATGTTTCGTCCTGTTATGAGACTGGCGCATCAGTGGCAATGTGCATCCATGACCATTTGCTATTAGCAGGATTCGAACTTAATATCCTCGGGCTTGCGCCCAAACGCCTAACCTCCGAACTACTTGGTCGACACCCGGTGATATTAATGTCCGAGCTCGATCAATCTAGGGATTTTACGCGACCTAATCTCATTTATCTTTGGTAGTCAGGGTTGAACTCCACTGGTCACGTTTTCTCACTGGAACTCTGCGAATTTCCTCACGAAGCTACTAGTCACTAGTGAGCACATTGTAGGATTTTTCAATTTACAGTTATGGTGATCATTTTCTTCACATAATCTTATCATGAATGAATGATTGTTAGACTGCCATTAAGAACCTGGAAGCACTGTTGAAGACGGCATTTTTATTCCTGGTATTGGACTAATCAGCAGTGGTCGATTCATGATTTCATTGTGTAATACTATTTATCCCTATACCTCTAAATGAAAAATAATCCCAAAATGTTTTTTGATAGTCACTGATCTGTTAGATTGATGATTTGATTGATTTTCATTAAAATTATGAATTGATCATTGTTAGACCATTAGTATTAGAAATCTGGGAAACACTGAAAGACAATCGTTTCCTCCTGATCGATTCAAATGTTCAATGAAACTCAATGATCTGCATTAATTTGTAATGAAAATATCATAAAAATGTGCTCACTAATGACCAAATTCATGAGGGGATTCTCAGTGTTCTAGTGAGAAGACCTACTTACATTACACAATTGATGAGGCAGCGTAGTACATTGGATTACTGGGAGTTAGGCATTGTAGTGAGTGCTTTCATGTCTAGCTCACAGGGCTCGTCCTACTTGTCTTTTGACCTTATCAGTCATTCGCTCATATCGGCGTCGCTTTTATTCGTGTGTGTGCATACCTATCTGGCTTTTTATTGTCTGACTATAAAATTCTTAATCATGCTTCATCAAATCGAGTTGGTGGCTTTCTCACCTTCTCCACTTCACTTTGCTTCGCTTTTCTTATATGCTTTTCGTTATCATGTCTGCTTGAACGATTGACTGAAATAAACTCATCCAACCGCCGCCGCAAAAACGGGATTCGTCTAAGTACAGTATACACAAACTGATAGGGAGATTTATTTCATAGCATACTCGATCGATTAGAAATATTGTATCCAGATTACGGGCCAGCAAAGTAGTCAGCCCTACACGAATCGAATACAGCTAGAACATTAACACGGTTGTATGCCTGCTTGGTGGTCTAGAGGTTAATCACTCGCACGCAAGATCGAAGGTCCTGAGTTCGGTGCCGGTAATTGGGTATCGTGAATGTGCACTGTAAATGAGTCCAATGCCAGAATGAAACGACACATCAGTGCTTCCAGATTTCTAATAAATCCTAAAAGAATTAAAACTTCAATGTATATTGAAAAAAAAACATTCCCCGAAATTTCGCATCCTTCTCCATTGTTAGGACACTATTAAAGTACTACTTAAGCTAAAGGAGTGAAAGCCCAAAGTTTTGAGTATGGCCACCTCAAAATAACAGAATACAGGTTTGTAGAAATCACTGGTTTTTATCAATATTATAAACAACTGTGAGCTAGAAATCTGTTGAAAACTAAGAAGAACTGGACAAGTGCTCAAGTCTCAATATGTGACTCTTTATCATCTTTTTTAGTAAAAAACGTATCGGGGATCAAACGAAGTCGGAGATATACGCATACGTCAATGGATTCTACCTTAGTAGTCTAGAGGCTAACCATTTACGCATATAGCTTGTTCGATCCCCTGTTGTTTCATCATGAATGAGCGATACTGAGTAGTCATGTGTCCTGCATTCTGGTATAAATAGGGTCGGTTCTTGATATCAAAAACGATGCGTATTGCTGATAACTTTTTAAACATCAACTCATTCAAAAAGCAAACAGATATTTTTCACAATAATTGAGTTTAAACGTTTAAAGCTGGGCAGAAATTTCCGCCGTCTTCTAATTTACGTGACTCTATAACGTTACAATATTTCTAGCCACATGAATAACAGTTTATAATAGTCGAAATAACCTGTAAGTTTACACAACGAAACTAGTCTTGTCGAGAGCTATTCGTTCTACTATTTAACTAACTCTTCAATAGTCTATATCTATTACTTTCCTATTGAGGACATAATTTTTTGTGTCTCTGAATTTGCTTCGTCTGATTATTGTTACTATTTACATAAATTACAGTGTGATCAGAAACATTATCAAAAAATATGCTGTAAATAAGTCTACGCTATTTTTACACTCAGAACAGTGAGGAAATGCTATAATGTTTGATGTTTTTAAGTTTCCACCTGCTAATGTAATTTACGCAGAAAAAATGTCTTATTTATTACATATGTACACTTTTAACAAACTTTGTTCTTACATTGGAAAATACTTTGTTTTACTCAATATCACAGCAAATTTAAATATTATCTTCTAATATCTATCTTATTCAGAAATATTTCAAAAGTAATCCCTATAACCCTTAATCGCCTAAATATTTATTCAATTCAACTAAATATTACTCATAAGTAGTAAGATGTAATTGCCTACATTTTATCAGAATATCTTACATGATTCTTGGGAAAAAAAATTTATATGCACAATTAGAAGTGACTGTTAAACAGTAATGAATATTTCTTTGGTAAAATATGGTATCATTCAGTTAAGTTTTTGATTCCCTGTCAGACAAATCAATTCAAATAACAATGGTAAAGGCAGATAACATGTTTTCCTTAAAAATATATGAATGTAGAATTACTAGTAAATGCAACAGTCTCAACAGTTTCAGTAATAAGAATTAATCCTTGTAGATTGCTGTTACTCAGTAGAAATCCAGCTTTTACTTGATAGAATTCACTGGTGGGACTGAAATCATCAGTTATGGACCACGTGATATAAAAAATGGAATCCCATTCTGAGTTTATTGGATCTCGTTTTTGAATCTTCTTGTAGTGGCTTCGAAGATGATTGGTTCCAGGGGGGGGGGAAGAAAGATAAGACATATTAGTACCCAAAGATACCGAGTGCCAAAATAAGATCACAACGCGTTCTATGATAAAATGCAAGGAAATGGAAGTATTGAACGGCCGTTTCGTCCTAGGATGAGCTACTCAGTAGTGCACACTGACGACCCTCACTCGCGGGAGTCCAGTCCAGGATTTGCGATCTCGTGAATGCATTGAAACTCAACAATCTCCATAACTCGATGATGAAAAGCATAAACACGTGATCACTAGTGACTAGATTCGTTTGTTAGTGAGAAGACGTGACCAGTAGAGTTCAGCCTTGTCGTATGTAGGCAGTAGTTACCTAATGAACATAATAGGTGAGGTTGCATAGTGCTTTGGATCGATGATCAAAGTTAGATATTTACATCGTTGGATTCCGGTTTAGCGGTCAAGATGTTAAGCGTTCGCGTGCGAGACCGAAGATGTGGTATTCGATTCCCGCGGGCTGAAGCTCATGAATAAGCACTGCTGAGGAGTAACATTCTAGGATGAAACAGCTGTCCAGCGCCTCTAATTTCTTGATGACTGTCTAGTAAGGATTTTATTCTTGACTTTAATAAAATTCCGCAGTCTCTACAAATCTGAAATAAAAATCAGTTAATAGTTGTCAATTTTTATACTGACGTTAACATTGGGTAAATAGGAACTCTTGAATCGACCAGCTCCACTGAAGACACCCAACATCGAAGCAGTATCTACGGACCTCCCAATTAATATTGGCGCACCTACGATTGAGGAGATCAGTATGGCCATCAGACAAATCAAGAGCGGCAAAGCAGCAGGACCAGACAACATTCCAGCAGAGGCAATGAAAGCAGATGTAGAAGCAACCGCGAAAATATTTCACATTCTCTTCAAGAAGATTTGGGATGAGGAACAAGTACCATCAGATTGGAAAGAAGGATACCTCATCAAAATACCAAAGAAAGGCGATCTCAGCAAGTGTGAGAACTACACAGGCAACACTCTGCTTTCAATACCAGGCAAAGTCTTCATCAGAGTATTGTTAAACAGAATGAAGGACTTCGTAGACGCCCAACTTCGAGATCGACAGGCCGGATTTCGTAAGGTTCGATCGTGTACTGACCAAATTGCTACATTACGGATCATTGTGGAACAATCAATTGAATGGAACTCACCACTCTACATCAACTTCATCGACTACGAGAAAGCATTCGATAGCGTGGATAGGAAAACACTGTGGAGGCTTCTTCGACACTACGGTGTGCCTGAGAAAATAGTCAACATCATACGGAATTCTTATGATGGATTCAACTGCAAAATCGTGCACGGAGGTCAGCTGACAGACTCTTTTAAGGTGAAGACCGGTGTCAGGCAAGGTTGCTTACTCTCACCCTTTCTCTTTCTCCTGGTGATCGACTGGAATATGAAGACGTCAACATCTGGAGGGAAGCACGGTATCAACTGGACAGTTAGGACGCATCTGAGCGATCTGGATTCCGGAGATGATCTGGCTCTTCTATCTCACACGCAACAACAAATGCAAGAGAAGACGACCAGTGTAGCAGCAGCCTCTGCAGCAATAGGTCTCAACATACATAAAGGAAAAAGCGAAATTCTCCGATGCAACACAACATGCACCAACCAAATCACTCTTCATGGAGATGCCTTGGAGGACGTTAAAACCTTTACATATCTGGGCAGCATCATGGACGAGAAAGGTGGATCGGATGCAAATGTGAGGGCGCGGAATGGCAAAGCGAGGGCTGCATTTCTGCAGTTGAAAAATATCTGGAACTCCAAACAACTTTCAACCAAAACCAAAATCATGATTTTCAATACAAATGTCAAAACAGTTCTACTGTATGGAGTGGAAACTTGGAGAACTACGAAAGTCATCATCCAGAAGATACAAGTGTTTATTAACATCTGTCTACGCAAAATACTTCGTATTCGTTGGCCAGACACCATCAGCAACAACCTACTGTGGGAGAAAACAAACCAGATTCCAGTGGATGAGGAAATCAGGAAGAAGCGGTGGAGTTGGTGGATAGGACACACACTATGAAAAGCACCTAACTGCGTCACGAGACAAGCCCTCACATGGAACCCTCAAGGCAAAAGTAAAAGAGGAAGGCCAAAGAACACATTACGCCGAGAAATAGAGAAAGATATGAGAGGAATGAACAAATATTTGACAGAACTGGAGAGGGGAGCCCAGGACAGTGTTGTTTGGAGGAAACTGGTGGGCTGCCTATGCTCCATTGGGGGTAACAGGCGTAAGTAAGTAGCATTGGGTAAATACTACAATGAATTATCGTTAACGAATGTTAAATATTATACTCAGCCAATATTACACTAAAGAATATTACATTAGAAATAAAATAAATGTTACATTGAACAAATATCATATTGAATTCAAAATAAAACAGAAAATATGTACATATAATTAAATAAAAACGATTCTAATTATAAATAATTAAAATAATTACAAAATAAAATAATTTTTCTCCTCTTTTTACCAATGAATAATATAAATATTGTACTTTGTAAAAGTAGCGTTTGTGCACAAGACCGAAGGCTCTGAGTTCGAATCCTTTGAGGTACAGGAGTCGTGGGTGTGCTCTCCCCATATCACGATGGAACAGCCGTCTCTCAGTGCTTTCAGGTTACTAATAATGCAGGTCTAACAGTGGTGATTTCAATATATGTAGAAATTAATTTTTAATTGGTTCAACAAATACTGAAAATTTTCTTATCTACGAGATGAAACACTCACACGCACAAACACCATAGAGTTACAATAATACAAATGCTTTTTATTTATACTCTCATCTAAAACACATTTTCTTTATTTGTTTGTTTTATGCATTTTCAAATAGGTCAATGTGAATGTCAAGATAATACTGGTGGTTTATTCTGTGATCGATGTATGGATGGGTATTATGGCGATGCATTTGCACCGATTAATTCACCCGATGCATGTAAACCATGTCCATGTCCAGCTGAAGCTAAATGTGAACAAGTTTATTGGCCAGATCGTTCAATTAAAGTTGTATGTAAAGATTGTCCAGATAATCGATCAGGTATTTGTCTATACATATATATATATATATATATATATATATATATATATATATATGTATTTGAGATGATGGTAGAGAAAATTTATCGCTCAGGTGGATGAATGTGATGGAGTTTTGTTCTCTGAGCTGGATAGGTTTTGGTTGTGGAGCTTGGGTTGTTCTCCTACTGAACTAAACATAATTAGCACAAACTTCAGATAGTAGAAGAGGTGTATTTGAATTTCTCCATGTATGACTTATAGGTTTTGTATGTTGACCTCGATCTTGATTGATTGTGATTGGTCATGAATCTGTCAGTGTCTGTCTTTGATCTGTTTCTTAATCCTATGATTGTTTATGATTTTATAGATTAGTTGATAAATAGGATCAAGTGGATGTGTTTTGATTGATTGTCCAATGTTCAACCTGAGTGCCAAGCTTCTGAAAATTCTCTAGCGTTATTTGTACTCCCTCTATTCAGTATTTTAACATTGTTCCAATCGAATGTATGTCCATAGATGTGTTCGTATATATATTGATATGAGGGATGAAATCTCAGGGTATTTTACTGCTAATCGGTGTTCACGTAGATAAAGCTGAAAAGAATGTCCTTTTTGTTCGATGTAGTGTTTTTCGTATTTCAGACTGACACAGGTTCATAACAACTAACCTCAACATCGAGGTCATGAGGACAAGCAATGAGTCATTCGTGCAGAAATTCTAATCATTCACTTCTGCTATCTGAAATTTTTAGGCTGATAATGTTGTTCAGTAGAAGCACAATGAGCTCTACAACCAAAACATCCAACTCAGATAACAAACGAAACTCCATCATAATAAATCTAATTACGTAATTAATTCTTGTCATATTTTGACATTGATTCTTAATCATAAGGCGAAATAGGTGTAAGTTAGTAACTATTAAGTATGGTGGTGATGTTAGACCCTCAGAACTAGCTTGATAAATATCTTTATTTATTTCATGGGCTGATCAGTTGACCTTGAGGTCATATTTCCCACTAGAAAAATCCTTGGTTGTCATTGGTTACTGTGTTAGTTTATTGTGCTATTTTTATGACTCTCCCAAGGACGTCGCTTTGGTGTAAAATTAAGCGCAATTTGTGTGCTTGTATTGATTGTGTGCTGGCTGGGTGTCTGTCTATAGAATACACTTTCTATGCCATATCAAGACTTCTTGCTGGTATATTTGGGTCAAGGGATCACAGTAGCCTGCCTACCTGGACGCTGGTTCATTGTCTCGTTCTCATTATTTGACTAAGGTGAACCCGTAATAGTTGTTTTAAGCATACCTAGAGACGAGTGTAACAAAATAAGAATGGAATTTTTTTGGTGTATTTGAATGACTATTTGAATGTTTGAAACTAATGACTAATTTAAGACTAAATTCAAGTTTATCAAGTGATTGTTATGTAAACGCCATCAATCAGATTCAATCCAACAAAGCCCTGAGATCCCTTCAGTCGGTATTGTGTAACATAAAGGTGGTTACCATATTAAACTCTGATATATCTTAGTTATGACAAATAAATTCTGATGACTATTATTATAGTCCTGTTTGACAATTTGGTTTCAGAACCAAATTTTGAAATGAAACTTAATTTATGAACGATCATACGAGTGAATGGATAGTCCATTGACCAAATAAGGTGTAACTTATTAAAATCATCATTATTACAGTTGCAAAATATTACAACAAGCTAGTGAACTAAGGAATGAAAGAATAAGAATTTAAATAGGGTTTTTTAAAAGTTGAGTTTACAAATAAAAAAGATTTCATGAAGTTGATGTATCTCACATGTATCATTTGAAGCCAATATACAAACTTGAATTGGTTGGCTGTTTTTATCAGTTTTCATTTTTATACTACTCACAATTCAAAAGTAGTAAATAAATTATGCGTTAAATAGATCTCGCACGAATTAATACTTGACCTCACTTAATCAATCCTAATAGTAAATAATAAATTGATGATTACGTCATCATTATTTATTTTAATATAAATAGGTATTCGATGTGAACGTTGTGCAGAGAATTTCTATGGTGATCCATTGAAAGGTATTCCTTGTAAACCATGTGATTGTTCAAATAATGTCGATCCAAGAGAATTTGGAAATTGTGATGGGTAAGTAAGTATTTTGTGTGCGTGTGTGTGTGTGTGCGTGTTACATAACATAATTTATTGATTAAACAAAATTCCATATTAGCTGGAAAGATGTGTTTATACTTTTATTTTTCTAAACTATACTACTTGTAACCAAAGTTTTGAAATTTGTATAACCAAATAGTGGATGAGTAAAATGACAAAAGGATATGTCATCTCGTATTAAAATAACATCGTTCTAGCATGCTTAAATTAAAAATATACAAATGTAAGAATGATTGAAACATGATATTTAAAGCAATTAATCCGTTTTTGGGAAATATTGATAGAACAGTGGAGAAGACGTAAGTGATCTGAAAATAGGTGATGTATTTGCGCTATATATATATTTCAAACAATCTGGTCACACCTGAATACTTGTCAATGCATTTTATATGAAAATGAATAAAAGGTCAATTAAATAAAAAGTTCAAATAGACATAAAGTGATAAGTGTAAATAAAGAAGAGAGAGAAAATTAACGTAATATGAAAAGAATAAGAAGGGGTAGGAAATTGCCGCATTATCACCTAGGCCAAAACATGGCTTTAAGATTACTGCGGTAAATTCAAGGTTATAACAAATTGTTTCTGTACTCATAAGGGTGGCTTTAATTTACGAATATCCAAGGCTTCCACAAAAAAAACCTCAAAATTCGTCCTTCAACATTTCTATACAATGTTTTGAAGGATGTCTTAATGTCAATCTTATGCCCCATCTCAGTTATGATGTTTTGCGATCGATGAATATGGTTTTCTGCTTCCCACGTTTATCAGCTCATCTGAAGTTGTGATATTGATACTAGCTCAAAGGGTTCAAAGGTTAGGCGTTCGTGCGCAAGATCGAAGGTCCTGGGTTCGATTCCTGTGAGGTGCAGTAGTCGTGGGTGCCTACTGTTGATGAATCCCATACCAGGACGAAAAGGCCGTCCAGTGCCTCCAGGTTTTTAATGGTAGTCTAACGTTGATCGATTCATGAATTCAAATATGTATTCATTTTGAAATGACTTGTAAAATTTCAAATTGTAACCTCATTTCACTCTTTCACTTTGTCTGACAGGAAATCCTTGTTTTTCTTATATTGATTGATTCACTACAATTCATCGTTCAGAATAATATTTATTCAATAAATTCCATTTGTTTATATTAAGAACTGTTTTCACTAAACGATCAATGAAATTTATCGATCCATGGATAATTAGTTTATTCCAGGATAGAACTAATCTAAAGTGAATAATATATTTACAGTTCAACCACGAATTAAGTGTATAAAACCTTCAAGTCTTATGATGAATGCTTAATTATCAAACAATGAGTTCATATTCAATGGTTCATATTCCAAACTTTAGTCAATATGTCTGATTTATCCAAAAACGCCACTGGTATTTATCTCATACAAAATTTAGCTAAACTTTATAAGTCACAGCTATAAGTTAAACGATTGTCACATACTATTCTGGTGGAGGTGGCTGCATTAAAATCCTAAATAGGGCTCTCCACTTTAGTGGCCCGCGATCTAACACTGATATTTATCAACAATTCAATATACTATGAAATAAATCTCTCCTTCAAGTTCCGTATACATCAAACTTCGGTGAACCCGGTTTGTGTGACTATGATAATGAGAAGCCAAATACGAATTCGGTTGGATGATGAGTTTATTTCAAGCAATCGTTCATACATGAAAAGCATGAAAGTAAGGCGAAGCGAAGTCAAGAAGGCGAATGAGCCAACTCAATGCAATTAGGTCATGGATTAGTATTTACAGTCAAACAAAAATAAACTAGATGTGAGATAAACGAAGTAAGCTCCACATGTACACAAATGAAAACAATGAAGGGTATGAGCGAATAATGGATAAAGTTGAGAGAGGAGTGAATAAAAATTCATGTAAAATGTGTTGGTTAAATTGTTCAGAGGCTGAGAGACAAGCCTTGTAGGCTCGACATAAAACTACACACACTACACATTATCTTTACTGATAAATTTCACTTACTTTAATGTCCTACATTTTTAACTTAAACCAGAGGTTAGGCGTTCACGTGGAAGACCAAAGGTTCTGGGTTTGAATCCTGTGAGGTTCAGGAGTCGTGTATGCTGAAGAGTGCCATTCCAGGATGAAATGGCCGTCTCTCAGTGCTTCCAGGTTTCTAATAGTAGTCTAACAATTATTGATTGATGACAGACAGACAGAGAGATGCTACGTAGAACTTCGTGCGTAAGTACATCAGTTCATGTTGCCATACCACATCAGCACAGGGATATAATTGTCAATTCATATCCAATAGTAGAAGAGGTAGTAAAGGTATTAGAAGTAATCGGAGAGGTTAGAATTAGAAAATATTATTCAAGAAGTATGATTCAGTTAGATAAGTTTATAAAGTCAAAACTAGAGTTGTTGAAGAATCAAGAAGATTAGGATTTGAGAGAACACAAAGAATAAGTCCACCGGCGCCATTGCGAACGATTTTGAGCCATGTCATTCAAGGTCTCTAACCATCGATTATTATCATCTCGCGGACCCCAACCAGGTAGTCGACAATTAACGACATGGCCAAGTCCACTCGTCAATGACTTCATGGATTTCTTCCATGTTTTATATTTGGCCGCCCCTAACTTTCTTCCAACCTATTCCTACACTACAGAACAATGCTCGTCGAGGCAATCGGTGGTTAGGCATACGCAACATATGTCCCAACCACCTCAACTGATGAATTTTCACCACTTCATCGATTGATCTGCCATTCTTACCTAGCACCCGATTCCTAATAACAGCGTTGCTCACTCGGGTATCCCACGATATACGAGCAATGCTTCGAAGACATCTATGATCGAAAACCAGTAACCCACGAATATCTTCTACTCTCACTGGCCATAAAGTAAGACGGAGCGAACTACTGCACAGTACACTCGTCCTTTAGTCAGCAAACGGATATCTCGCCTACGCCATAAGTGACGCAGGTTGACAAAAACCAATCGAGCCTTCTGTATCTGAGCTGAGATTTCGTCAGTCACCAGGCCATCGGCACTGATGAAACTCCCCAGATAAATGAATCGTTCTACACGTTCGACTACTTCACTTCCTATCACTAGTTCAGGTGTCGATGCAACCCAATCTTGAAGCGTCATTTTGCACTTCAAGGTGGAAAACCGCATCCCCAACATGCTTAGGATGGTCAGATTATATTGATCGATGACTTGAATGTGTAAACTAATTCAATAAACGAAATTAATTAATTAATTAAATAATTCAATTATTAATTAACAATTATCTCTTTTAGAAAAACTGGTGAATGTTTAAAATGTTTATTTGGTACAAGTGGTAAACATTGTGAACAATGTCTACCAGGTTATCGTCGTAATTTGAAACCATCAATGAATACTACTACTACGACTACTACTACCAATACTGCATTGACAGATGATGATTTAATACCAGCAAGAGGTTGTAGTCCATGTGAATGTAATCCAATTGGTACGCTGGCTAATTATGGATCACAAGGTATTGGTGTTTGTAATCCAGAAACAGGTCAATGTCCATGTAAATCAGGTGTTGGTGGAATAAATTGTGATAAATGTTATAATGGATTTTATGGTTTTCATACTGGACAGGTAAAAAATGTTGTTTTTTTAATTGTACTACTAATAGTAGTATGATTATTTTTACAAAAATTATTATTATTATTACGTTGATGAAGGTGATACTTTCATGCACTTTGAGCATAATAATGAAGCTACTATTGTCAGTAATATAGAGTTGTGCAAATTGTTGAATGTTATGAGAAAATCATGAACTGCGACCAATGGAAGCCTAAAAGCACTCAATGAACCTTTTATCCAAGTCTGGTGATCATCAGCAATTTAGCTAGACATTACCACGCCTTATAAGTTCCGGCTTATAAGTCAAAAGGTTAAGCATTCACGTGAGAGATTGAAACTCCTAGGTACGATTCCCGTGAGCATGGATGGGCACTGCTGATAAATTCCATACTATAGGACAAAACGACCATCCAGTGCTTTCATGTTTCTAATGGTGGTCTAACAGTGATCAATTGATGATTTCAACTTGTCATGTTAAAATGAAATTTTACACTACTAAATTAATGTTACACTAGAAAATATAAAATCAATATTAAAGTGACTAAAATATTACACACCAATAACAAAAATCAATATCTTATCATGTTACAGTGTATTAGAGAAAACATAAAATTCATCTACTTATCCTAACTTATTGATTTTCTTCGAAACATTGATGACGTTGTGGTGAGCAATGTATCACTAGTTTCGTGACGGTCGGTATCCAACATGTTCTTAGACTTCCTGATTTGCTCGTCCAGACAATCGTTACTTAATAGCACCTGACGGTTTATAAATCAGAAGGTGAACACGAAGTGTTGAATATGTTTATTTCGGGAACACCACAAATAGAACAGCAGGCCACTGGCATGCGAAGATAAAATCAATATGTGATAGCAGGAAAGCAAGCAAGCAAGCGAGCGAGCGAGTAAGCGAACTGGCGATGGGATTAAAATGCACTCCTATATGTACATCGGAAAAGAGATGAGAGTCATCGAAATATTTAAGAGGCTAACATTAAAGTGAGTAGGATGAATATTCACGTATACGGTAAGCAATGTTCAGTCGTACCAGGTCATAGGTTAAATAAATTAATCAAAAGGCCTAACCAAATTTTAAATATGAGTGAACTCAAATGTATATGCAAGCATTCACAAGCCATAGAAAAGTAAATCAAAACCCAGTCTTCTTTAAGTTGTCAGTATCAGTTTATGAAAATAAAACTTTACTGGTTGAAATATATATGTTTTTTTTCTATTGTATTTATGCCAATAAGATTTGAGAATTTGTATATGTTTATATGAGTTGTAGAAATTTTCTGAATCAGGGAATTAATAGTTAACACGATAGACTACTCTAATCCCAAGCATCCTAATGCCCAACTAATTAGAGGAAAAAGTCTTGACAAGACATAGGAAGTGTATGAGGTTTTGTACAGAAGAAGATGATGAGCTTAAAACTTTACAGACAGTGCATATTTATACAGTTAGATTCGATCGTGAATACTAACCAACAGGAAATAACATTTACAAGTATGTGAACTTGATAGTTTAGGACGATCTTAAATGTTGATTCATAAGAATTGACCAATAGAATTAGACGCACAAAATAATTCCTTAAAGATATTTGATGAATATCCTAACAATTAAATATATATATAACCGTGCAATTTCATACATTAAAAAAACACAGAAATCAGTAAAAATTACTTAAATATTTCTTGAATGAGACTTATTGATACATATATTTTGTGGTGGAGTTTTGTTCGTTCTCTGAGCTGGATGGTTTTTCTCGGTTGTGGAGCTTTCGTCATTGTTCTTCTTCTGAACAACAACAACATCATCAGCAGCAGCACAAACTTCAGATAGCAGAAATGAAGTATTCGAATTTCTCCACGGGTATGACTTGTAACTTGTTGTTGTTCTATCGACCTCGATCTTCATTGGTGATTATTAATCTTCAAACCTGCCGTAGTCGGCATCTGTATTTTGACTGTATGTATGATGAGCGTATAATGGAAACATGATTGCAAAACATAGGATCAAGGATGTTTATGTTGGGGACATTAGATCCCCAGAACTCGCTTGATAAATGCCTTTTCTTGGTTTATCGACTAAGGTGAACCCGTAATAGTTTCAAGCATACTTATTGACGAACCTAACAGTTTATGTGTATATATATATATATTTTTTTTTTTGATAAGGGATGTCAACCATGTGATTGTAATTCTGTTGGTGCAATACAAGAATCATGTGATGATCGTACCGGACAATGTGAATGTCGTCCAAATGTGATTGGACGTAAATGTGATCAATGTCAATTGGCTCATTTTAATATGACTACAACAATGGGTTGTCAATCATGTAATTGTCATATATATGGTGCTGAAAATAGTCAATGTGATAAAACTGGTCAATGTGTTTGTAAACCATTTGCTGTTGGATTACATTGTGATCAATGTCAAGTAAGATTAATTGAATGGATGTATGTATGTATGTATGTACATTTAGCGATAGATATAAGTTGTGCTGGTCATGTACTGTTGTTTGTCCTTGATAAGCGCGATATTAGATAACGTCTAACGGTGTGTATACAATACAAAAGATGAATTACGAAATGTTGATGATCACACACCGAACACAAAAACACGTTTAGGGAAGTGAAAGCGAATGAGTATGGAAGTACCAATGGGCGAATGTACATGTGTTACGAATGCCTAATCACCAACTGCCTCGACGAGCTATGTTTTGTGGTGTACGAGTAGATTGGAAGAAAGCTAGGGGTGGCCGAACCAAAACATGGCACAAAATCCATGAAGTCACTGACAAGTGGATTGAGTCATGTTGGTAGATGTAGACTACCTGACTGGGGATTTGATTTGACATTTACGTCTCTGTGCTAATGTGGTATGGCAACCTGAACTTATGTACATACATAGGAAGTTCTACGTTGCAACTGACTGACTGATGGGCGAATGTATAGGATTAAAATGTATGTAGATATATACATAAGAAAATAAATGAGTCATCAAATTATTTATTAAACGATTAATGATAAAGCTAGCAGAGTGAATATGCGCGTAAGCATTAACCAATACTGAAGTATACATGATTATACAAGCGTGAAAATGATAAAAGTAAACCGAAACAGATAATCGAGAAATTAATTGAATAGAATTTGCCACTCTCTATGTCAACTTCATTGACTATGAGAAAGTATTTGATAGTATGCACAGGACAGGACTATAGAGGCTTCTTTGACACTATGACGTGCCTCAGAAGATAGTCAACATCATACAGAATTCTTATGATGGATTAAACTGCGAAATCGTGTATGGAAAACAGCTCACAGACTCGTTCAAAGCGAAGATCGGTGTCAGACAAGGTGGCTTATTCTCACCCTTTCCGTTTCTCTTGGTGATTGCTTCGATTATGAAGACGTCAACATTTCGGGTGGAGCTTGAATACAGTGAACAGCTAGAATGCAGCTGGACGATTTGGACCTCGCAGATGATCTGGCTCTTCTATCGCACACAGAACAACAAATGCAAGAGAAGTGTAGCAACAGCGTAAACAACAGAAGGTCTCAACATAAACCAAGGGAAAAGCAAGATTTTCCGATACAACATAATATGCACCAACCGAATCACACTTGATTGAGAAGCTTTGGAGGATGTAAACGTTTTTGCATATCTGGGCAGCATCATCGACAATCAAGGTGGATCCGAAGCATATGTAAAGGCGCGGATTAACAAAGAAATGTAAGCATTGGTGAACATCTATAACTCAAAACAACTACTATCAACCAACATCAAAGTCACAATTTTTAAAAGAAACGTCAAGACATTTCTACTGTATTAGGTGGAAACTTGAAAAGCTATAAAAATCCCTTATCCAGAAGATATAAATGTTTATAAACAGTTGTCTATGCCAAAATACTTCGGATTTGTTGGCCAGACACCATCAGCAATAATCTACTGTAGGAGAGAACAAACCAAATTCCAGCTGATAAAGAAGGAATCAGGGAAAAGTACTTAGGTGAATCCCGTTTGTGTGATAGTGTTAATAAGAAACCAAATAAGGATTCGCTTGAAAAAGTTTATTTCATGCAATCATTCATGCCGGTAGACATGAGAATGAACAGCATACAAGAAGAGCAAAGTGAAATGGAAAAGGCAAGCGAGCCAACTGAATACAATAAAACATGACTAAGTATTAATTGTCAGCCAAAAACTAGCCACATTTACACACACTCACTCGAATACAAACAACCAAGGCTGTGAACGAACGAATGACAAGTAAGTTAAATCTCTCTGGGAAAATAGATCCACTGAGTTGCGCAAAGACTGATCCAAAGCCTTGGGAGCTGAAAAACACCAACTTTGAAAGTTTATATGTTAACATTAATATTGAAGCAATTTCTTATCGTTACACTAACTATTTAAAAAAAATTTTGCAATTCCCTTTCACAGGAAAATCATTATAATTTACAAGCTGGTTGTTTACCTTGTCCAGCATGTTATAATTTAATTCAAACTAGAGTTGCAAAATTATGGGGTATGTTAGAATCAGTATTTGGACCAATTCAACATTATCAACAGCAACCATCAACCACAACAACGTCAACAACATCACTTGTAACAACAACACCAACATTAGATGATAAAGAATTATTTGAAGAGATTAAACGTTTAAATGATACTGTTGTAAAATTATATCAGGAAATATTAGATTATAAAGGTATGCCTTTTTGGTAAATTTTCAAAAAACATTTTTGTGATTATTTGGTTTATGTGGGTTTGTGGAGATGGCTGAGTGACTTTTACGAAATCATGAATCGATAATAGCTGTTAGAGCACCATTAGAAACTTGGAAGCACTGAAAGACGGCCTTTTCGTCCTGTGGTATGGGACTACTTCATGAGTAGCAATGCGCATCCACGACTCCCACTACTGGCTGGATTCGAACTCAGGACATTCGATCTTGCGCGAGAACACTTGGCCTCTAGACCACTGAGCCGACATTAATTTATTCTGATAGCATAAATGTTTGATTAATGTATTCATTGTTATTTTATTGTAAAATATAAAAATTCAGAATGGTAGTTTGTCATGCTGAGAAAATAAGAAATTTAATATATCTTGAGATCAGTGATTATCGTAGTTCTTTCAATTACCTACTTACTTACTTATGCCTGTTACCCCAAATGGAGCACAGGATGACGACCAACATTCTTCAATTCTTTTCTAACTTAGGCCTTCTTCTCCAGCACTACCTGACTGCTATTTGTTCTTTTTATGTATGTTTTCTATTCTCGACTCCGCTTGATGCCCTTCTATGGTAACTACTAGCCTGTTAGAATATTCATCCAATATCCTAAAAGAATTACTTGTAAGTCGAATTCAACAGGTCAATTCCTATCGCTTAATTCCTATTGGTCCATATTATGGCCGTCCTGATGTCACTTCAAATGTGGTTTCCTATTGGTCGCCTTAACTGTCAATGTCACAGAATTCGATGTCGTTTCCTATTCAACATAAATTTTTATATACGCATTACCTGAAACGTTTTATGACCCGGACACGAACCTGGATCCTCCATCCGGGATCCGTGTCTTCTTCTGGACTCGGACCTCGTACTTTCCGGATACTTGTAGAATACAGGTTCTACTTCATATTCAGTCTTCTTCTTTTACTCAATATGCGGATTGGGACAATCGGATTAGGGTAGTCTGTCGTGTCACCAGATCCTCGATGCTCGCTCTCATTTCCCGACTAAGGTGTAAACTCGTAATAGTTCAAGCATATCAAATGACATGTTTATGTCCGTAACACAGTCCAAAGTCCAGATAGTGGAGGAAGATTAGGCATTATTAGGTCAGCGATCTCATCCCATAGAAAAAAACGTTCTCTATAAAAAATAAATTCAAAATAAACTATTCTACTTGTAACTAAATAACGATATTTTTTAACAGTCAACTTACTGTTTTAAAAATCTTACTAGAGTTAGTAATTAAAAATATTCTCATATCATATAAATGATTATAATGTGTTTATTGTAACAGGGTGAGTTATAAAAGAACTTTCGTTTAAATTTGAACCAACACTTTTTTACAGTAGTTAGGCTCTTTAATATAATGTAACGTTAATCAAACTAACTGAGCACCCAATGTAGAGATTCCAGTTCAACGGAAGGTTCAATCAGTCAATCAACAGCAACGTAGAACATCGTACATACGTACGTACATCAGTTCAAGTTGCCATTCCACATTAACACAGCAATGCAGTTGTCACTTCAAAGCCGATACTAGTAGAGGTAGCAAAAGTTATCAGAAATTTTAGAGTTGGAGGATATTATTCAAGAAGTAGAATCTAAAGAAATAAACTTAAAAAGGAGAAGATAAAGCGATGAGGAATTACAAAGTTTAGGATTTGAGAGAACATTAAGAAAATGAATACACCTGCAAACGGTTTTGAGCCATGAACCAAGAGAAGGTTCAATAGTAGCCCAAACAGAGTAATGAAAACTTCTCAGATAAAGACAATAAATAGTGAGGATTTTAATAACATTTGAAGAAACAGTTTCTTTAAGATTACAGATACGTCTTAATAACAAGAAACAAGTAGCATAAAATTTTTAAGACGTGTATTTACCATCAGCTATCGCTAACTGTTTGGATTATTACATTGTTAATGTTTGATCAATGTTTGTCATTATGAAAGTTACATGTGCTTAGAAAGTCGTTAGCTATCTAAATTCAGTAGCTTATTGGATAATAAGTCTCGTTTGAATCTCAGTATGAAAGTTAACAGTGAAATGCAACTAATATCATCTATCTGACATGTCCTAAATATCACGTAATATGTATACTAGATAAAATCTATCCATTTTAAAACTACTAAATATAAGCATTCATGTTATTCGCTTATTTTTTTTCTCAGTTAACTTACATACAAGTTTGGTTTTTGGCTAACAACTATAATTAGACCATGTGTTAAGGCTTTGTTGGAGCCAGAATATTGCTAAAACTCATTTGGCTACTTATAAGTAGTGTAATAATAAATAATAAAAAAACCTATCGAGGACTACATTTCAGTGAAATACTACGACACACAAACATGATACAGTCAGTCATATAAAATGACAAGTTGATGGACAATAGGTCAAGTCCGAAAAATACATATCAAAGACAAAAACAAGCATAGTAAATAAATATTTTATTGTACAAAAATTAGTATAAAACTAGACCATTAAAACAATGTTTAAAAAGTAATCTATATAATAATAGTTATTATCATTTCATTTTTAGTGTTGTTCTTACTTGTGATACCTTATTTTTTCTCCCCCTTATCTACATTATTTTTCGACAATTAGAATATCTTCTTTTCTTTGTGTAATCGTGTTTAAAATGTTTGTATTTTTTTAAATCAAATATCAATGAGAAACCAAAGCGCATGAGTGAGAGAGAGATAACCAAAAGGTTTACAAATCTTGGTTTTGTGTGTTACGTCAAAAATAGACGAATGATAAATGAACATAATGATAATAATAATAATAGTAATAATAATAATAAAGAATTAACCTTTGCACAAGACTCAAATAGAAGCGTGTACATGGTTGGCGGAATCAATGGTAGGCTATTTTTAAGATAGAATGAAGTTGATTTACGTCATGGAATGATATCAATTAGAGAATGTTTTTTTCATTATAGCATTTTGGAGGTTGTTTGTTGGTTTACATAGAAATCATGAATGGATCATTGTTTAGAGTACTGAAAGATGGTCGTTTCGTCCTGGTATGGAACTCATCAGTGTCAGTGCGCATCCATGCCTACTGACACTCACCGGATTCGAACTCGGTACTGATTTTGGTCTAACAATGATTCATTTATGATTTCAATGTCAAAACAACGATCTCCATAATAGTGTAATAAGAAAATCAAGATTGTTCTTACTTGTGGCTAACTTCATCAGGAAATTCTCGGAGTTCTAGTGGGAAGACTTGACCGATGGAGTTCGACCCTGACTATTGTAGGCAGTACCTACTGAAGACAATGGGTGAGGTTGCCCTTAAACCTTGGATTTATCAAAGTTAGACATTATCACCGTTGGTTGACGGCTTTGTGGTTTAGAGGCTAGGCGCTTGTGCACAAGACTCAAGGACTTGGGTTCGAATCCTGCGAGCAACATTAGCGCATTGCTGATGATTCCCATACTAGGAAGAAACGGCTGTCCAGCGCTTCCATGTTCTCTTGATGGCGGTCTAACCATGACTTCAATGTAGAGATTATGTGTAAATCAAGAAGTAATGATTGTCTATTTGTTATTTTAAGCCATTATCTTTTTTCTTTTCGATAAAATGGCATAGAAGTATATCATATTTGAGTATGGTTATCTTTCAGTGTTTACCCTCAGTACCATTTTAAATGTAGAATCTGATAATCTAAGCTGTATAGTGAGGAAACATAAAGTTACTAGATTTTTATATATGAAAGGCTGTTAAAAGCTCTAATGGTGATGAGATACGAAGTAGCGAGTGATTAAGTTCTTTGTCATTTTCAATGGATTATCGGGCTGACATCTATACACAATAAAAGTGACTGTCCCATGGACGTCTCTATAGAGTATAAGTAAAAGCAGTTTGAGTGCTTGGATTCATTGGGTTTGCTGGCTGGGTGTTTGTAGAATACACTTTCTACGCTATATCAAGACTTCTTGCCGGTACAATTTGTTGAAGGGATCACAATAGCCTACCTGGAACCTGGTTCATTGTTTTTTGTTCTCGTATTTCGACTAAGGTGAACACGTAACAGTTCAAGCATACCTACAGAATTACTTACTTACTTACTTACTTTCGCCTGTTATCCCCAATGGAGCATAGGCCGCCCACCAGTCTCCTCCAACCAACTCTGTCCTGGGCTTCCCTCTCCGGTTCTGTCCAATGTTTGTTCATTCCTCTCATATCTTTCTCTATTTCTCGGCGTAATGTATTCTTTGGCCTTCCTCTTTTCCCTTTGCCTTGAGGGTTTCATGTAAGGGCTTGTCTCGTGACGCAGTTAGGTGCCTTTCGTAGTGTGTGTCCTATCCATTTCCACCGCTTCTTCCTGATTTCCTCCTCTACTGGAATCTGGTTTGTTCTCTCACACAGTTCGTTGTTGCTGATCGTTTCTGACCAACGAATACGAAGTATTTTGCGTAGACCACTGTTCATAAATACTTGTATTTTCTGGATGATGCCTTTCGTAGTTCTCCAAGTTTCTGCTCCATACAGTAGAACTGTCTTGACATTTGTATTGAAAATCCTTATTTTGGTTTTGGTTGACAGTTGTTTGGAGCGTAGCAAAAGCATGTACATTTTTTTAATCAAATGTATATCCATAGTTGTCCGTATGTATTTGATATATAAGAGAAGAGATATCATGGGGTTTTGACTTCTAATTGATGTTCACATAGATGAAGTTAAACAAGATATCCAGTCTGTCCAATATAGTGTTTTACTCAATTTTGACATACTTTCGGTTGGGAGTATGTTGAAATACTAGATAGAGGGAGCTCTTAGAAGCTTGATATTCAGCTTAATCAACAATCAATAAACACCTCAACATTGATCTAATATCTATCAAATAATTATGAAATTTATAGGAAAAACATAGGATCCAAAAACATTAAAGGGAGATTACCTACTTACTTACCTACGCCTGTTAACCCCAAAGTAGCATAGGCCGCCCACCAGTTTTCTCCAACCAACTCTGTCCTGGGCTTCCCGCTCCAGTTCTGTCCAATGTTTGTTCATTCCTCTCATATCTTTTCCTTTTATGTATGTTGAGACCTACTGCTGCAGAGGCTGCTGCTACACTGGCCGTCTTCTCTTGCATTTGTTGTTGCGTGTGCGATAGAAGAGCCAAGTCATCTGCGAAGTCCAAATCGTCCAGCTGCGTCCTAACTGTCCAGTTGATACCGTGCTTCCCTCCAGATGTTGACGTCTTCATAATCCAGTCGATCACCAGGAGGAAGAGAAAGGGTGAGAGTAAGAAACCTTGCCTCACACCGATCTTCACCTCGAACGAGTCTGTTAGCTGGCCTTCGTGTACGATTTCGCAGTTGAATCCATCATAAGAATTCCGTATGATGTTTACTATTTTCTCAGGCACACCGTAGTGTTGGAGAAGCCTCCACAGTGTTTTCTTATCCACACTATCGAATGCTTTCTCGTAGTCGATGAAGTTGATGTAGAGTGGTGAGTTCCATTCAATTGATTGGAACTCAAAGGGAGATACAATCAAAATAAACAGGCAGACAACGACAGGTTTAAGGTCAATAGCAACCAATCAATTAAGACCGAAGTCAACAGAACAAAAAGCTACAAGTTATACACGTGGAGAAATTCAAATACTTCACTTCTACTATCTGAAGTTTGTGCTGACAAAGATGTTGTTCATCAGGCGAGCAATGAAAGAAGCTCCACAACCTAAACATCCAGCTCACAGAATGAAACTCCGTCATGAATTTATGTTATTCTGTTAGGATCAAATTATAATTTAAAATACAAAACGAAATCATTTAGCCTCTTTTGTTTAACTAATTAAAAAATAGATACTTTTTACTACAAAATTTATATCAAGACAATACGTCGAAGCGAACAATATTGTTATTTTCAATTAGATCGTTATCAACCTTTAAACTAATGAATATACATTAATATCAGATTAAAAAAGGTTGATCACAATCTGATTGAAAACAACAATATTGTTCGTCAAACAATTAACAAAGTGATTTCCAAAAAAATACCTGATTTTTTTCAGATTTTCCTCTCTCTAGATCAATCACATTCACACACACTCACATGCTCCCTCTCTTCCACTCAAATTTTATCATTATCTATCAGCTGATTCGTGATTTAGTTTATGAATGACATAAATCACCAACATTTTCCTAAATCTACATAGATTAATTTTTACGATTATTCAATAAAAAAATCTATAAAACAAACCAATGGACCATCCGTAACAAACGAAAATTTGAATTCTGCTTTTTTGGCGCCTAATCATTGTTTATTGAATTTTGAATTTTTCTATGCAGCAAAAAAAGCGCCACCCACCTTTCAAATTATTTTCAATTTTGTTTATTTATTTCTTTTATTTATGTGTTGAACAGCTGATAGTTCAATTGTTGATCAAAAACAATTTAGAAAAACTTTAGATAATATCGCTAATCAAATTGATATGATTGATAGAGAATTGAAACAATTGGCCAGTAAACCAGTAAGTGTATGCTCTTTTGATATGATTCGTTTTTTTTTGCATTATGGAGTTGATGGAGATTGTTGAGTTACACATTTTTGAAATCATGAATCGATTATCAATGTTAGACTACTATTAGAAACCTGAAAGCACTGAAGAACAGGCATTTCGTCCTAATATGGGACTCTACTCATCGGCAGTAGTTAGCATCCATAACTCCTGCCACCCCATGGCCTTCGGTCTTGACGCGTGAACGTTCAACCTCTAGACCACTGAGCCGACATCCATTGTTGTCAATGCCTAACTTGGATCAATCTAGAGATTTTGTTCAACTTCACCTGTTGTCTTCGATAGTTAACTGCCTACACTCAACAGGGTTGAACTCCGTTGGTCAATAATAGACGAAACCACTGTCTTTCAGTGCTTCCAGGTTTCTGATGGTGCGGTCTAACAATGATTGATTGATTGATTGATTGATTGATGATTTCAACATATAAAAACACTGATGTCCGTAACTGTAATTGAGAAAAGAATTACTTATTTTCACGTTTTAAACACATCAACAAAGATGTATTTTTACTTTTACACTGTCAACACATATCATTTTAAAATGTATCGTATATACAATTCTGTTGTACAATCTAACAGGCTTTTAACTTATTTTATAAAATTTTACTGGATTAATTTTCTTCTGCCCATTAAAGAACAGTTAGTTTTAAATTAAAGATTCCCACAGGGAAAATTAGAACAACACCGATATAAGCGAACAATATTATTGTTTTCGATTAGATCATCATCAGGCTTTTTACTCTAATATACATGAATATTTATGATGAAACTATGAAACCAATCAAGGCAATTTGAGTCAATTATCATAATGAAATGAAATAGAGAATACGTCACTACATATAATAATAGGCAAAAGTACAAGTGGATAGTAGGAAGACAGCTGCACTGACGGTAGTAAGAATAATAAAATACGATAACTAAAGTTTTATCAACATGTGTGTCTGAAAAGATATTGCTAAACTACTCTAGTCATAGTGAACCTACTGTAGAACTGAGATGTATTTGTGATTCATTGGTCACTGAACAGTAATCACTCTCAAGTTTAACGAATGCTTCCTGCGGTACTGATCATATTCTACACAACTAGTAGTAATGTAGTCACCTAGTTTAAGTGATTCGATATCGTAGGCATTAACATCTTAACAACGTGTAGGTAATGTCAAAAATAACTTAGAATAGTGACAACCACACATTACACCATGATGGATAGAATTCGATCAACTCCGATATAGGTATAAACTAGTACAACAGAGTCACTTGTCAATTATCCTCACTTCATTGCACAAGCCAGTGGCTAAATGGAAGCAGTAGCTAAGTAATTAACACCATGATGTTTGCAGCAAAAGTTAGTGGGTTCGAGTCCTGGAAGGAATATCAACTCTGAGATGGAGATGTACCCAACTGACGAGTCCCAGCAAAAACGAAACGTATGTCCTGGATTCTACTGTTTGTTAACTACCATCCATCTCTGCCGAAAAAAACATTATTAATTGCCTTGTTTTACTTTTTCGTATTAGTCTATCACAAATCTAAGAAGAATTCCTTATTTTTCATTTCATATAGATAATGTTCAGCACATATTTATCATGTGAAGTTATGAGTTTTAGAGAGAGAAAAAAAAGTACAAGAAACGTGGATTTAGTTAACTTTAAATCATGTATAATTATCACATGTGAATTACTGCTTATGGCATTTAGTAAATATTCAGTTAATTTAAAAATCACAAGTTACATTTAATGTTAATAGGAAGTGCATACATACATAGAGAATTTCTCTTTTGCTGGTCATAATCAAATTTTCAGAATATATTACCTGTTATGTACTATTATTATTATTATTATTATCGAAGAGATTCTGTCACAATCGGGAACTCATAAAAATGATGAGTGAATTTGTAGAATGCGTGTGCTTTCCAAACACACTGTTTCAGTATTTGTTTGAGTAAAATTATGAGAAATCATCTGAGGACATTACTTTCTTACCTATTTACGCCTGTTACCCCCCACTGATCATCAATCTGCATTCTCCTACTCTGTCCTAGGCCTTTCTTTCTAGTTCTATCCAATTATTAATCATCTTTTTTTCATGTCTGCTTCCAATACTCAGAATAATGTGTTCTTTGGTCTTCCTCTTTCCCTTTGGTGGCTCTGAGGATTCCAGGTGAAGGCTTGTCTTGTGATGCTTACTTACTTACTTACTCCTGTTACGCCCAATGGAGCATAGGCCGCCCATCAGTCTTCTCCAACCAACTCTGTCCTGGGCTCCTCTCTCCAGTTCTGTCCAATTTTTGTTCATTCTTCTCATGTTTGTCTCCATTTCTCTGCGTAATGTGTTCCTTGACCTTCCTCTTTTCCTTTTGCCTCGAGCGTTTCATGTAAGGGCTTGTCTTGTCAGGCGGTTGGGTGCTTTCTGCAGTGCGTGTCCTATCCACTTGCACCGCGTCTTCCTGATTTCCTCATCCACTGGAATCTGATTTGTTCTCTCCTACAGTACGTTGTTGCTGATGGTGTCTGGTCCACGAATCCGAAGTGTTTTGCGTAGAAAACTGTCTTGTGATGCAGTTAAGTTAATTTATACTAAATAACTTCTGAAAATATAAATATTTTGACGTAATTAGCATAGGACTAACATTTATTAATCAAGACCTATTAGACGATGATATAATTCAAGCCCTTACTAATCAAATAATGAAAACGAATCGATGATTGTTAGAAAATCATGAGAAACTTGGAAGCACTGAAAGTTGGCCATTTCTTCCTAGTATAGGACTCATTTACAGTGCTCATCCAACAACCCCGCTCGCAAGGATCGAACTGAGAGCCTTCCGTCTCAAGCGCGAACGTTTAACGCCTAGATCACTGAGCTGACCGGCACCCGAAAATGTTGATGTCTAACTTTGATGAGTCTAAGGTACGACTCAACCTCACTAATTTGTTTTCGGTAGTTACTGCCTACACCCTACAGTGTTGAACTCTCTAGAACTACGAGAATTTTCACCATCAAGCTAATCACTAATTGGCACATTTTATAATTTTTCATTTAATAGTTGTGGAGATTATTGATCCATTACTGCAACTGATGAGTCCCATATTAGGATGAAACCGCCGTGTTTCAATGCTTCCAGGCTTTCAATGGTGGTTGTCTAACAATGATTGATTCATGATTTCAATGAAATGCAACACTGAAATATATACAAGATTTCAAAAAACAAATTTTATATGATTTCAGTTCGTGTAGCGCTGACTTGCTTACTTATTTAGTTTTACTTACTCTTGTGATATGCTCGTTATTTGATATACTTGGATGCTATTACGAGTTGACCTTGCTCGGTAAACGGCACGGAAGCAATGACTCGCTGACGTGATAGGCTGTTTATTACAAACCGTTGTCGCAGCCCCGACTAACCATAGCCAGAAGGCTTGATAAGGAGTAGAGAATATATTCTACAAGCACCCAGAAATAAAGAGGTTACATTTTCCTAAAGGGAAATGTAATCTCAAGGTCAACCAAGCGACTTATGCGCAAAAACATTCAAAATTCAAAATTAGGACCCTTTCCAAGTGAGTTCTGGTGATCTAACTTCCCCAACAACCTGTTACCCCTTCCAATGGAGCATAGGCCGTCGACCAGTATTCTCCAATCGACTCATGTAATGCTTAGTAGATAAAATGATTAAACATACAAGGGATACACAATAGTTGTTTTTTTCATAGATTTCAAAAACTTAACTTCATACAAGAAATAATTACAACGGAGTAAAACAAATGTAATGTAGTGTGTTTTTTTTTCAAAGGAAAAATTCATAGAATAAAATAATATTAACTAGTGTATCATACAACTCTGTATAGAAGAAGACTATCAGATGACTATCCTTCAAAATAAACATAGAAATGTTTTTAAAAAAAAGTACTAACTAAATTTATTAGCAAAAACGAAATCAAACAAACAGATTATCCAACTGTGATGCGAGCTACTTATAAGTAGTATATGACGTGAGTGTAAACGTAATGTCTGGCAGCAGAACATGGGGGAAGATCAAGAAAGGAAGAGTTAGAACACAATGGAATTTGTATGAAACGCATGAATAGTGACAATGGATTGATGTTTTGCAACAGGAACAGTCCAGTTCGATATGATGAACTGATATTTTGCAAATTAACGATTTACGATATGGTTTTCCAATTTTACTGAGTAACTCTGTGATTTCGCTAAGTGCAATCCGGTCGCCCCACCTGTGTTCTCGGTCACTACACTACTAGCCTAATATGTATATTACATTTCGAAGTTGCAACGAGATTTCTAAATCTGCTTGAAGCAGGTGTGGCTTTCAAACAATCAAAATCGATCCAATCAATTCTCTGCAAAGGACAAGATGCAATGAGAAGAGAAGAGAAGAAAAACCAAAGTTTATTTACAAAAGAAACTATTCCAGTTGCAAAGAACACTCAGTCTGACAAAATTGGACGTCTTACATTGCTTCGCTTAAATGAACACCAATTAGCAGTTAAAATTTATGACACATGTTGCTTGATATCAACACATGTAGACAAGTTTGGACTCATATCCAACTGGAATAATGTTGGAATACTGGATAGAAGAGGGAGTACAAAGTACACTAGAGAAACTTGGCACTCAGGTCAATCAGCAATCAACCCAACACATGAGAATCGATCCGATTCATCAAGCAGTAAAAAAAAACAACCATGAATCAGGATTTAGATCAAAGGGAGATACATTCGGAACAGTGTAGCAGATGATGACAAGTTAGAAGTCAGCAACAGCCTATCAAGATCAAAATCAACAGGACAAGCTATGAGTCATATATGAAGCAATACTGTACTGATGATATTATTATTCAGACAAACAATGATAGCTCCACAACCAAACTACTTAGATTAGAGAATGAAACTCTACAATAAGTAATATTTTTTATACGACTGGTGATTCGAATCCTGTTATAATGTATGGATTTTTTATTCAAGTTCATTCATTATCTGTTAATATTAATTTTTGTTTTGAGAAAGTTCCCGCTTAAAGTTAAAAAAAATCAAGAAACTAAGTCAAACCAATAGTATGATAAACTTGATATCTAGATTATAATTAGAAACCTGGAAGCAATGAAAGATGGTCCTCCTGGTATGGGACTACACATCGTTGGCAGTGCTCATCCACGACTCCTACTACTCACAGGAATCGAACCAAGGACCTTCGGTCTTGACGCATGAACGTTTAACCTTTAGACCACTGAGCCAACACCCAACAATCTTAGTGTTTAACTTCTTCTATACAGCTAATACTTCTACTATCTACACCACGATGGGATTTGGATTGACAATTGCCTCTCTGTGCTGATGTAGTGGTATGGAAACCTGAACTGATGTACGTACGAAGTCGAGATGGTGGAGAAGATTTGTAGCTCAGGTGGATGATTGTGGTGGTGGTGTTTGGTACTCTGAGCTGGATGTTTCGGTGGTGGAGCTTTCGTTGTTCTTATTCTGAACAACATCATCAGCACAAACTTCAGATAACAGAAATGAAGTATTCGAATTTCTCCACGTTTGACCAGTAGCTTTATCTGCTAACCTCGATCTTGAGTGGTTGTTGTTGACCTCAATTCTGTCGTAGTTTGTACCCTTGATTGTATCCACCTTTTTCATCTGTTTCTTGATCCTATATGTCAGCTATGATTTTCCTGATTGGTTGGGTCAATGTCGATGTGTTTTTTGATTGCTGATTGACCTGAGTGCCAAACATCTAAAGTTCTACGAAGTTCTACGTTGTAACTGACTGACTGACTGACTGATATCAACCAATCTTTTCAATTGATGCTAACCAGTTCAATTAAATAGTCTACATTTGATTAACTGACCTTGTTTTTGGCAGGTTCCGTTTAGGCGAAATACAACATATCATAATCTCACCAAAAAATGACCTATTTTCAATATTTCGTTGATGTATGTTAATTTCATTTTTTTACTTGTTCTCTCTCTCTGTGTTTTTTTTTCAAGTTAACATGTTCAGAAAATGAATTTAATAAGAATATGGCATATTTACAATTGGAAGTAACTGAAACTCTACCCAGATTATTAACTGATGATGTACAAAGAATATTGGATAATTTAAAACGTACAATTAGTTCATCACAAACTGATCCAATCTTATCGAAATATGCAAATGAAGCATATGATTTAGTGAAAGAGTAAATGACAGGGTTGTTTTTTTACTTTTTTGATTGAAAATTAATTTTTTTTTTAAATCATTATTATTTGGTCTTAATAAGTGGTTGAGATTCCACAAGAAATGTATTTATCTGTCAGTGACACTGTGGAACTTGGTAGGTATGTACGAACATACATCAGTTCAAGTTGTCATACTATATTATTAGCACAGATGGATCGAAATGTCAATTCAAATCTCAAAGTGATGGAAGTTGTAGAACTAAAAGCGATAATTGAAAAGATCATGGTTTGAAGATATGTGATTCAAGAAGTATAATCCAATGAAATAGATTTTAAATGAGAAAGATAAAGGTGATCTGGAATTCAGAAGATTAGAATTTGAGAGAACACAAACAGAATCGATGCATCTGCGTCATTGCAAACGATTTTGAACCATATGATTCAAAGTTTCTAGCCATCGATTACTATTGTCTCGCACACACTAACCAGGTTGTCTACATTTACCAACATGACTCAGCCCAGATGTCAGTGATTTTATGAACTCACACATCAGTGCTGATGTCCTGGTGACTGAGGAAATGTCCGCATGGATACAGAAAGCCAGATTGGCTTTTGCCAACCTGCGTCACTTATGGCGTAGGCGAGATATCCGTTTGCTGACTAAAGGACGAGTGTATTGTGCAGTAGTTCGCTCCGTCTTGATTTATGACTGTGAAACGAAGCCAGTGAGAGTAGAAGATATTCGTAGGTTAGTGGTTTTCGATCATAGGTGTCTTCGAAGCATTGATCGTATATCGTGGGACAACCGAGTGAGCAACGCTGTTATTAGGAAACGGGTGCTAGGTAAGGATGGTAGATCAATAGATGATGTAATGAAATTTCATCATTTGAGGTGATTTGGACATATGTTGCGTATGCCTAACCACCGCCTGCCTCGAAGAGCTTTGTTTTGTAGTGTAGGAGTAGGTTGGAAGAAAGTTAGGGTTGGCCAAACCAAAACATGGCATAAATCCATGAAGTCATTGACGAGTGGACTTAGCCATAATCAATGGTTAGATACCCTGAATGATATGGCTCAAAACCGTTTGCATTGGCGCCGATGCATTTATTCTTTGTGTTCTCTCAAATCCTAATCTTCTGGATTCTTCAACACGTCTAGTTTTGTCTTTTTAAACTTATCTAACTGAATCATACTTCTTGAATAATATCTTCTAATTCTAACCTCTCCGATTACTTCTAATACCTTTACTACCTCTTCTACTATTGGATTTGAATTGACAATTACATCTCTGTGCTAATGTGGCATGGCGACATGAACTGATGTACTTACGTACGAAGTTCTACGTTACATCTGACTGACTGACTGACTATGCATTGGTTTAGCCATTTGAATTTTCATTTGTTTTTTTTTGAGTTAAAATACTCAGCAGCTGGTTTATTCCCCACACTCTTACTGTCTTCATTGGAACTTAGTTCACAAACTGTTATTCAAAATTAAAATGAGGAAAATAAAATTGTCATTAAGAATTAAGAAGATTAGAATTTGAGAAAAGACAAAATAGAAAAACGATTCACCGTCTCTATTGCAGACGATTTTGAGCCATATGATTCAAAGTCTCTAGACATCAGTTACTATTTTCTCGTCAAATGTTATTTTGACTGAATTTCAATCAGTCTTGTTTAACATTGTGTGCATTCTGTGTAGATAGACTTGATTTTGGATATATTATATGACAAATTTATATCAATTAAGTAGTAGAATATGGTAAGTCGCGGAATACATGCTGCGTACTTCATCAAAGTTAAAAGTTAATAGTTAGTTATCCATTTAGCTTCTAACTCTATAGATAGAAGCTAAATACCGATTCATTTGGATGAATTCATTTCAGACCACAGTTCAAGCAGACAGACATGAAAGCACAAAGCCTAAAAGCAAAGTGAAGAAGTGGAGAAGTCGAGCGAACCAACTCAATGTAATCGTGGATGTGATGAATAAGTATTTCTAGTCAGACAATAATAGGCTAGACATGTGTAGAAAATGAAGCAAGCATGTACACACATACTTCACTATAAAAAACTACCAACGATATGAATGAATAATAATCATAAATAATCATCAACCAATCATTGTCAGACCACCATTAGAAACTTGGAAGCACTGGACGGCCGTGTCGTCCTGGTATGGGACTAATCATCAGCAGTGTGCATCCACGACTCCTGCTCCTCGCAGGATTCCAACCCAGGACCTCTGGCACTGTAGGCGAACGCCTTACCATCGGACCATTGGGCCGGCATCTAACGGTGTTTATGTCTAACTCTGATTGATCTAGGGATTTTTGCGCGACCTCACTCATTTGTCTTTGGTAGTTACTGCCTACACCCGACAGGCTTGAACTCCATTTGTCAGGTCTTCTCAACTAGAACTCCGAGAATTTCCTCACGAAGCTTGTCACTAGCGAGCACTGTTACAATATTTTGGGGCACAGTTTTGGAGGTTTGCGTTTTTACACATTAGAAATCATCAATCAATCAACAATGTGTAAAAACGCAAACCTCCAAAACTGTGCCCCAAAATCATAGATAAATTCAAAAGATTTATGGATAATCGACTCAAAAAGAATGAATTGACTGAATTGTCCAAAGACTAATATACAAGCCCCCCTGTGTGTGTGTTCGACATAATAAAAGTACACGCACACTACACTGCACACACCTCTTACTTACCATATTCTAACCTATTTTCTATAAACTTGTCTTATAATAATGGCTATATATATATCAAGACGATCAAACACAGGATACACATACACATATCCACTAACTAAAACTGATCAACATTCAATTCCGGTATACAAACAATGGAATAATAATTCAAACTTATTTATTTTCCTAACATCAAATTTATTTCAAACAAGTTACCTCTTTGTTTTTGTCTGTCTTAACATGTCAGTTATGTTTATTAATCGCATAGTCTATTCAGGTTTGCAAAGGAAAGGTATACGAGCTTATCGCTTCACAAAGTATTAAGAAAGTGTATATATACTAAATAAAACATTGCGGTGGCTGGCAGTAAACATTGTAAAAAGAAAACTTGTTGAAATTGTGTCCATGCTGAGAATTTCAAACTTATACTAATCATTATTATTATTATTATTATTATTGTTAATATTACCATAACTTCAAATTACCATTTACATTGAAAACTGTTCAAACGGTTTAGTATTTTTTGTAGAGAGAGAAAGAGAGATGGATAACTCTGTCCAATCTCAGCCAAACCAAGTCATTAGCAGCCAACTCAGACATTACTGGTAATCAAACAGACTGATTAGCTAAAAATGAAACTAAATATGCATAGTTCAATACTTGATATATGAATTAAATACTTTTACAGTCGATTATTATCAATCTTATCTTTCTAGAAAGACAATGATTTTAGATCACTGGTCATACACAATAAAAATGAACTGTCGAATTTAACACTTAAAATTATCCCACATAATATACGTCAATCCACAGTAACCGATTAGTTTACTTACTTACTTACTTACTTACTTACGCCTGTTACCCCCAACGGAGCACAAGCCGCCTACCAGTTTTCTCCAACCAACTCTATCCTGGGCTTCTCTTTCCAGTTCTGTCGTGTTACTGCTAGAAAGTGATAAAACCGTACGGTGTTTGTGGAAACGATTAGATTTTACAACTCCACTTGTAGCCCTTTTACGGTTTCTGTCAGTTGCAAAACCCAAATAAAAAAAGGAGAGTTGGACAGGGAGCGGGCTAGCGACTCCAACCCGTAGAAATTCAACTCGCTAACTAGAAAAAATAATTCACTGGCCTATGCTCCTTGAGGAGTAACAGGCGTAAGTAAGTAATTCGATTTTAAGACAATTCATATCAAACCAACGTGCAGTAAACAACTATTTCATAAAACTACAGATCCTAGACGGAACTTATGTATGTACACACAAAAATAAAGTAAAAAGTTAACTACGCAGTACAGTACAATACAATACAATACAATACAATGGAATGTCTTAAAAAATGACAACAGTCTAGAGTAGGAAAGATTTTCAATAATCTTTAAAAAGTACATGAATGTTAATTGAAAAAGAAAAGTTCATTTATCATTCACGACATCGATTTCAAGAAAAAAACTACAATCAGGAGAGTTATACTCTTTACATCATCAATCACATGAATAAATGTGTGTATGCATGATTTAGTCAATAAATCATTTAACAATATTATCATTAAAAGGTCATATAAAATTTTTTTTTAAAAAAGGAGCACGTCATCATTTTTGATATTTTAACGTAAAATTGCATTCAGTGAAAACTTAACATTTTCAAATGTGATTTTATTATTTTCGAGATGGGGAGAGAGAGAGAGAAATAAACCCAACTTGACTTAAAAATGAACAGATTAAATATGTCTAACAGGGAAATTGACTCTGTGTTTGGGTGTGTTTATATTTCTCCTCGCTTGGAAATTGCCAACTGGATGTACCTGCATCCTAGAGTTGATATATATTACTTTGATATTTGAACATAATACCTTTCACTTCAAACTCTAGTTGCGTTATTACAGAGTGAACGTCAATTCTGGAATGCAGGTTGTACGTCTCGTCCCAAACTTTTTGAACTCGGGGTGAACATCAACTCTGTGACGTAAATGTACATCCAACTGACGAGTTCCAAATAGAACGAAATGTGAATTCTGGATTTCAACGCTAGTTGCCATTTAGCTTTGCTTAGAAAAGCTGAATTCAATTTTCATAACATTTTTGATTAGCACCTTTTTAATAGTATGATCTATGTGGTTCTACACGTCGAAATTCAAAATGTTCCTTCAGGATTGGCGTGCGACGGCATCTGAACTAGTGATAGAGAGTGAAGCAGTTGAGTGTGTTGACCTCTTCATCACTTATCTGAGGAGTCTCATCAGTGCTGATGGCCTGGTGACCGATGAAATCTCAGCACGGATACAGAAGGTTAGACTAGCTTTTGCCAACCTGCCTCACTTATGGCGTAGGTGAGATATCCGTTTGCTAACCAAAGAATGGGTCTTCTGTGCAGCAGTTCGCTCTATCCTACTCTATTGGTTTGTAACATGTCCCGTAAGAGTACAAGATATTGTTAGGTTACTGGTTTTCGATCATTTGTGTCTTTGAAGCATTGCCTATATATTTGTGGACCAACGAGTAAGCAATGCTAGTGTCAGGAAAAGGGTACTAGGTAAGAATGGCAGACAAAAGATCAAGTATTAAACCTTCATTACTTGAGATGGTTGAGACACATATTACGAAGGCCCAACCACTGACTGCCTCGTCGAGCGATGATGCCAGTTATAGAATTAGGCTGGAAGAAAACGTGGAAAAAATCTATGAAGTCACTGACAAGTGGATTAAACAATATTGGTATGTGTAGACTACCTGGTTGGGGTCCGCTGGACGAAAGTCACCGATAGTTAGACACCTTGAACGACATGACACAAAGTCGTCTGCAGTGGAACAGACCGTCTTTTCTTTCTCTCTCTCCATTGTTTTTTCAAAATTTGACTCCTCTAGGATTTATTTCTCAAATGATATCTGCGATTAACAACCCTCTTGATTACAGCTGATACTACTACTACTACTACTACTACTACTATTACTACTAATACTACTCACACCACTACTCACACTACTACTACTGTAGTGAACGAGAACACAGGTGGGGAAACCGAATTGTATTTAGAGAAATTACAGAGTTACTCAGTAAAATCGGAAAACCATATCGTAAATCGTTCATTTGCAAAAGATCAGTTCATCCTATGGAACTGGACTGTTCCTGTTGCAAAACATCAATCCAGTGTCACTGTTCATGCGTTTCATACAAATTTCATTGTTTTCTAACTCTTCCTTTCTTGATCTTCCCCCATATTATGCTGCCAGACATTACGTTGACACTGACGTCATATACTACTTATAAGTAGCTCACACCACACTACTACTACTACGGGTTTTCAATTGACAATTTCCTGTCTGTGCTAATGTGATATGATAACTTGAAGTGATATACTTACGTACGAAGTTTTATGTTATGGTTACCTGACTGAATAGTATGAACCTAAGACTTAACTAGTGCTCCATTGCTTTACATTCTAGCATCAAAGAGTAACTGTTATCTTTACTTCTGTAATCCAAAAATAAGTTTTGTAACGATTCTTTTTACAATGATAATACTCCTTTATTTTATCTTCCTTTTTTCTTCACTATTCAACTGCTTTTCTTCTTCTTCTTCTTCTTCTCGGTGGATTTCTCTTTGCTGTTTTTATTGTTACTTTTTTATCCTTTTTAAAACTTTTCTATTTTAGATTAAATGAAAGAAGTAAACGATTACAGAAACAAATCAATAATATTACACAACTTCTAGCGAATTCCACTGATAAATTAACTCAATCGAAAGAATTAATCAAAACATCCAAAGATGCATTACAGAAAAATATTAAAAAGTAAGTTTTATTTTATGAATGATATGAATATAATTAAGAAGCGGATAGATCATTACTTGCTTCCGCCTGTTACCTCCCCTCCCTCACCCAAAGGAGCATAGGCTACCGACAAGCATTCCCCTGTCAACTTTGTGCTAAGCGTTGTTTTCTAGTTCAACCCATTTGCTATTCATTCTTCTTATGTCTGTCTTCATTTTCTCGGCATAATATGTTCCTTGACCTACCTCTTTTTCTTTGACCTTGAGGGTTCCAAGTGAGGGCCTGTCTTGTGATGCAGTTGAGTGCTTTCCTCAATATGCGTCCTATCCCCTTCTAGTGCTTCTTCTTGATTTCTTCTGGTTTGTCCTCTTGTTGGGGATGTTAGATCCCCAGAACTCGCTTGATAAATGCCTTATTTTGGATTTCACGTTTGCGAGCATGGGCTGATCATGAGATGGTGGAGAAAACTTGTAGCTCAGGTGGATGAGCTCAGAGAACAAACCACCACCACAATGGGCTGATCAGTTGGTGACCTTGAGATTTCATTTCCCACCAGGAAAATCCATGGCTGTGATTGGCTGCTGTGTATTTTAGTGTGCTATTTTCGTAACTGTCCCAAATACGTTTCTATGATGTATAAATAAACGAGAGTTGTGTGCTGCTTGATTGTATGGTGATTGCTGGGTTTTTTTGTAGAATATACATTCTACGCTTATCAAGACCTCTGTTTTGCAGTTTGGGATTCAAGGTAGCCTATCTGGATGCTGGAAATAGTCTCGTTCTAGTTTATCGACTAAGGTGAACTCGTCATAGTTTCAATCATACCTAGTGACGAACATAACACCTGTCCTACAGTAGGTTGTTGCAAATGGACGAAGAGTGTCTCGCGTAGATGACTGTCAATAAACTCTTATATCATTTTGATGAAGGCGTAAGTAAGTAAGTCAGTAATCATTTTGATGATGGCTTTCCTGATTCTCCAAGTTTCCGCTCCATACAAGAGAACGGTTTTAAAGTTTATATTGAAAATTGTGACCTTTGTGTTGGTTGACATTTATTTTGAATTCCAGACGTTCTTTAGTTTTAGAAATGCTGCTCTTGCTCTGCCTATCCGTGCCTTCACAACTGTGTCAGAAATACCCTGCCCATCAATGATGCTGCCCAGATATGTATGTACAGGTTTCCAAAGCTTTAAGAACTTCTCTGTCAAGTGTGATTTAACTGATGCATGTTGTCTTGTATCGAAAGATCTCGCTTTTTTCCTTCTGTATGTTGACACCTTCTCCTGAAGAGACTGCTGCTGCTACATTGACCAACTTCTCCTGCATTTGTTGTTGCGTGTGCGATAGAAGAGCTATATCATCTGAACAATCCGTATCGTCCAGCTGGATTCGAGTTGTTCACCGTATTCCGTGCTTCCCTACCAAAGCTTCTCTATTAAGTCTGATTTGGTTGGTGCTTGTTCTGTTGTATCTAAGAATCTCGCCTTCTGCCTTGTACATGTTCATACCTACTGCTTCAGAGACTGCCAATACACTGAATTCGTTGTTGTTGTGTGTGTGTGATAGAAGAGCTAGGTCATCTGCAAAGTGCAAATATTTCAACTGTATGCAATTTGTCCACTAAACCCCGTGATTCCTCCCCTCCTCCTCCACCCTAGATGCTGACGTATTCATAATTAAGTCAACTACCAAGTAGAAACAGAAAGATTGAAAGTAACCAATCTTGTTTGACATCGGTCTTCGCATGGAATGAACCTATAAATCATTATATTACCTAATCTAATTACTATAATATTGAACGATGACCAGAAAAAATATGCATTTAAAAAAATCTTTCATTTGTATTAACTAAAAAATTCCATTTGATTTATAAATTTGTTTTGTAATTTGTTTCAAACTTTTAATGAATAACTTCATTTAATTAAAATTCTGTTGAATAATTTTTTCTTCTAAAAAACAAACTCATTTAAAACACTGATATTCGTTTTTAGATTTTTTAAAAAAAACAATCTTCAATATACAGTTTAAATAATCCGGTTTCTCCTTTTTCAAACAGCTGATCTATAGGGGAATATGTTTATTTTTTCAATTTTGAGGAGGATTAGACTTTATCTGCATTAAAGTCATGATGATGTTCTATAGGAAGGAAGAAGAAACATTCATAGGGTGTTGTTTTTACAGTTAGAGCTTTGGAGATTTGTGTTTTTACACACATTTGAAATCATCAATCAACCGATCATTGGTTAGACCACCATTAAAAACCTGGAAGCACTGTAAGACGGCCGTTTCGTCCTGGTATGGGACTACTCATCAGCGGCAGTGCGCATCGACGACTCGTGCACCTCGCAGGATCCGAACCCGGGACCTTCGTTATTGTGCGCGAACGCCTAACCATCGGACCACTGGGCCGGCATCCATAGGATGGATAGAAACTGTGATAAGTTCAGAAAAGAAGATAATTACTGAAAAAAATTCAAGTTTAGTCGTTAATTTTTGATTGATTATGATACTTTCAAAATTCTCGACGCCGACCAGTATTCTCCAACTTACTCTGTCTTGGGCTTTCCTTTCTAGTTTCATCCAACTGTTGTTCATTCTTCTCATATCTGTCTCCATTTCTCAGCGAAATGTGTTCCTTGGCCTTGCTCTTTTCCTTTGACTTTGAGGGTTCCATGTGTAAAGGCTTGTCTTACGGTGCAGTTGAGTGATTTCCTCAATGTGTGTCCTATCCACTTCCAGTGCTTCTTCCTGATTTGTTGGTCTGCCGGAATCTGGTTTGTTCTGTCATACAGTAAGTTGCTGCCGATGGTGTCTGGCAAACAGATCAGAAATACTGTGCTTAGACAACAACTGTTAATAAACATTTGTATCTATCAGATGATGAATTTGGTAGTTTTCCAAATTTCTGTCCCATACAGTAGAATTATCTTGACATTTGTATTGAAAATTCTGATTTTGGTGTTGGTTGATAGTTGTTAGGAGTTCCAGATGTTTTTATTCGATTCTAGAAATGCTGCCCTTGCTTTGCTAACTCCTGTCTTCACATCTGCATTGGATCCACCTTGCTCATCAGTGCTGCTGCCCAGATATGAAAAGGTTTTTACCTCCTCCAAAACACCGCCATCAAGACTGATTTGACTGTAACTCATCATCTAGACGCTAATTAACTACAACATATTTAGCGAAATCCTCTCTAACGTCATTAATATACCTAACTACCTTCCTACAATATTTATCATTAACATTTTAACTACACATTTAAATACAAACTATTGATTCATTGATCTATTAAAACACTGATAATATTTGATGTTTTCATGTCCAATTCAATTAACAAACTTCTTTTGTTTTGTCTTGTATTTTTTCCTTTTTCCTTTTTTCTCATCAATCTTCTTCATCGACGCGTTTTTCATTTCGCCCCATTCATCCATCCAACCAACCAACCGAGTTTAGATCCGATGAAATTGAACAAAACAGCATCTTACTGACTAGTCGTATTGAAGCATTGAAAGATTTAATGCAAAAATTACGTGATCAAATTTATTTGACCAATGCCAATATTGATCGTTTGCCCGATTTAATGATACAATTACGTCAATTAGACAGTGTAGCCATGACATGGAATGAAGCTAGCGAATTGGTAAATTTAAACAAAATAGTTTTTGCTATCATTAGAATTGTCATGATTATATAAGTATGTATGTATGTGTTTGTCAGTGAGTTGAGTTGAGTTGAGCTGAGTTATAATGTGTAGTCTATGTATGACGTTCACGCAATTCTTATCTCTACAAACATTTGTCATTAATTGCGTGAAGATAAATTAAGGTTTGGATGATGTGATATACCTGTTGATAGGGGGATATTGCACACTCTTTTATTAATTTGCTTTGCTTCTGAAAGTGTCAATTCAACTACCCACAATAAAGACTGAAAGTTGTAATTGTGTTTCTATCCTTTGATACAATGTTAAGTGAAGATATTTAGATAACACCTTTTTTTTGTTAAGTTGTTATTTATCTGTGAGAATTCAACCATACAGTCATGAAACATGATCAAGATAGCCCCTTAAAAAAGATATCTACGTTGCAAATTTCATACATACTTAAGAATATGTACATCAGTTCAAGTTGCTGTACCATATTAGCACTCAGAGGTCAAGCTATCAAATTAAATCCCTTAGTGGTAAAACTAGTAGAAGTACCTAGCGATAATAGGGTTCGAAGATGTAATTCAAGAAGTAGAATCTAAGTGAAATAAATTTAAAAAGAGAAAGTTAAAGGTGATGAGGAATTCAGAAGATTAGAAAGCGACATTGCAAACGATTTTAAGCAATGTGATTCAACTTCTCTAACCATCAGTTACTATTGCCTCACGGACCTCAACTACGTAGTCTACATTTACCAACACCGCTCAGTCCACTCCATGAATTTGTCCCATGTCCTGATCTGGGCGCATCTAGCATTCTTCCAGCCTATCCCTATATCATAAAACATCGCTCGTTGTGGCAGTCGGTGGTCGGGCTTACGTAACATATTAAGAATTTATTTCAACACATTAGGATCTATTGTAATAAAAAACAGTCGGTAGAAGGCACAGTTTACAAGACGACTAAATGTATACACCTTATCATAAAACATCCACTTATAAGACATGCATATTCTTGGCTGTCTTCATCTACACGTCTTCTATTCTTCAAAACACTATGATCGCGCATACGCGTCCAAATCGAACACTATTCATTTTCTACGTAAATTCACGATGAAACTGTATTATATATACTTTATGTCTATCAAAATGAGTAAAGAAAAGTTGAACATATTGATTCATGATTCAAATGAAACAGATGTTTAGTGATTACATTGTTTAAAGTAAATCGTTTTTGTTTGAAGATTTTTAGGAAAATTACAGAGTTACTCAGTAAAATAGGAAAACCATATCGTAAATCGTTCATTTGCAAAATAACAGTTCATCATATCGAACTGGACTATTCCTGTTGCAAAACATCAATCCATTGTCACTATTCATGCGTTTCATACAAATTCCATTGCGTTGTAAATCTTCCTTTCTTGATCTTTCCCCATCTTCTGCTGCCAGACATTACGTTGACGCTTACGTCATATACATATACCACATTCGTCCCCCCTTTTAAAAAGCTGTCGTCGTAGTCTTTCTGATTGCCGTACCGTTGTCATCTTTGGTGCTTTTCGTGACTCATGCACTTGACCATCTAGCATTTACGCGCTTCTACCTGTCTTGTCTCCGTAAGCTCGTTTATCTGCGGATGATACGGTGTAGTTCGTATCCTCTTGACGCCAAACTGCTTTACACTGGCTTTAAACTCGTCACTTTCAAAACAGGGACCCTGGTCAGTTAATATCACCTTCCGTATTCCGTGACGCGCTACAATATGCCGGATTACCACTTCGGTCATTGTTCTAGCCCGCTGGTCTGGAATGGGTACGGCATTTATCCAACGTGTAGCGTTTACCAGTTCCTGCTGCTGGCACACGGCGGAAGGCACACTCTCGATAAATTGCGACGCCAACAACTGTGCCCCTGACTCCCCATCCATACTCGGCAGCGCACGGTGCAGCAACATCGTGAGCTCCACTGCCAGCACCAGCGGGTCACCATCAGCCGACAGCCTCGCCAACTGGAACCTCTGCGGCGCCTCCTCCCTGTCCACTGGGCTGTCGAACTCCGTCATCAGCCGCCCGGTGACCGTCTCCCACGCTATCTTCCCGGCGGCACCGTCCAGGCTGTCGTTTACCGCCTTCGCTCCACCTCCCCGCAGCGTCCCAAGCACCGCCAACTCCGCCCCGGGCCCCTTCACACCCACCAGCTCCACCGCGGCCTCAAACTCCTCCAGGAAGCTCCAAAAATCTCCGTCCTCCTCCGGCCACAGGAGCTCCTTCCTTCGAGCAGGCAGCGACACCAAAAGTAATGAACATGTTCTTATATACAATATTAACAGTTTGACTGTCAGGTAAATCCTAGCTAATGCAGTCAGTGTTAAGCCTTCTGTTGTTGTTTATGCTTATAACGTCATCACTTTTGAAGTTGAGATTTAAGAATATCGGTTTTTTGTTTATTGTGATCATACCCGACTTATTTTCTTTAGATTTTTTTAAAATATTTTTCCACAAATTTCCGTGGCCAGCAGTGATCTCTAAAACAATTTTCAATGTTCATCAATACTTATTCTAGTTTATTAGAATTATATATCCTTTCCACTCTAGAAAAAAAGTGTTCTGATCAATACTTTTTTTTTAAATGAATGGACGGAAAAAACTATTGAAACTCAAGTAAAGACTATTCCAATTAGGCTTCTCAAAAACTGTACATTTGTTGAGGATGTTAGATCCCCACAACTCACTTGGGCTGATCAATTGTCCTTGAAATTACATTTCCCAACCGCAAAATCCTTGACTGTCATTGATTGATGTATTATTTTAGTACGCTATTCTTGTGACTTTCCCAAAGGCATTTCTATCATGCATAAATAACCTCGATTAGTGTACTTGTCAACTTCATATTTTCTGGTTGCTTGTAGAATACACTTTCTACGTCTTGTCAAGACTTCTTGTTCTACTTAATGGCACCTTTGGACTCTCGGATTAGAGTAGCCTATCGTGTCACTGGATGATCATTTGTCTTTGCTCTCGTTTACCGACTAAGGTGAACTCGTAATAGTTTCAAGCATATCAACTAGTGGCAAGCGTAACAACATTGAACTTGTTCTTACTGTCTTCTAAATGATAAATAAGAATTATCTGTATAAAATGTAAATACCGATTTCTTCATAATGACAACCTGATAAAGTACTTTGAATTCATTAAAATTACAATTTACTTAATGTTTCATTTGATTACGATAATCAATGTACATTATCATCTGTTAGTATACAGAGATAACACATTTAATTAAATTTAAACATAAACATACATTTTATTCTCAATTATAATCAATATAACTAACAACCAAGGACGGTAGATAGAGAAGTTGCGTATCGGACTAGAGGTCCTGCGTTCGAATCCTGTGCGTATCAGTAGGAGTCATAGATGCACACTGCCACTACTGATGAGCCAGTCACATCGAAACAGTTGTCTCCTAGTGCTTCGAGGTTTCTTAAGTTCGTCTAAAAATGATTCAGTCATGATTTCATTGTATAACTAAATTTACCTAACAGTAAAAAATTACTTCAAGCACAATCAGTGTTACATTGCCCATATAATATTTATCATTCAAGATTGAATAAAATATGAAGAGCATTTAGACAATAAATAAATTGGACGGCCGTTTCGTCCTGGTGTGGGACTCATCAGCAGTGCGCATCCACGACTTCTGCTCCTCGCAGGATTGCTTTTTTTTAATTTCTAACAAATAATGAATTCGCGTTCATTTCTCTATCGTTTTCGATTTAGAAAAAAAATAAGTAGGGGCATAACAGAATCATAATGTACAGCACTTTGTACATATATATATATTCTATTTATTAAGGAAGATAACATCTCGAAGACGAACTAATCACGATAATAATAATAATAATAATAATAATAATAATAATAATTGGAAAATGAAATTTAAACAATATTGAGTATTTGTTCATTGTAAATTTCTTTTTTGGCTGAGTGTAGTAGATAAGATTTCATTGAGTGAATAAAAAAGAAAATATCAACAGAAATAACCAGTGTCAATCAGTTTTATCAATTGACTAATATATATGTGTGTCTTTATGAGAATATTTATTTAAATATACTACTCAGACAGGACAGCCTACGCATTCAGACAATGTTGGATCACATGAATGAATTATCTAGTGTTATTTAATTTGAAATATACTATGAAAAGAGGCAAAAAATATCTATCTATCTATCTATCTATCTATCTATCTATCTATCTATCTATCTATCTATCTATCTATCTATCTATCTATTCTCGCATCTATCTATCCACGTATAGATAGATTTAGAGTATATATAAGAGATTAGATACAACAGATAACAATCATGATTAATGTTTGAATGCTTAAATAAGCTCGAATTCGGGCATATTGTCGGAAAAATTATTGACCTATAACAATGAAGTGGTTTTTGTGCCTGGGTACAAACCATAGTATTGAAATTTGGGTTATCATTTTTCAAAAAGTATCAACTTATATAGCTACTAACTTAGATTGTTAATTATTTTGAGTGTAAAAGTGTTGTGACGAATAATTTGGTGAAGTTCTGTCAATTAGTCAGCAACCATCTAGAACTTCGTACGTATGTACATCAGTTCAAGTTGTCACACCACACATTAGCACAGATAGATAAAATTGTCAATTCCAATCTCATAGTAGTGTTAAGGGTGATAGAAGTATTAGAGGTAATGAAAAAGATTAGGGCTCGAAGATATTATTCAAGAAGTATAACCCGGTGAAATAAGTTTAAAAAGAGAAAGATAAAGGTGATGAGGAATTGAGAAGATTAGAAAACGAGAGAACACAAATAGAATGGATGTATCTGTGCCACTGCAAACGATTTTGAGCCATGTGATTCAAGGTCTCTAACCATCAGTTACTATTGTCTCGTAGACCCCAACTAGGTAGTCTACATTTACCAACACGGCTGCCCTTAGCTTTCTTCCAGCCTACTGCTATATCAAAAAACATCGCTCCTTGTGGCAGTCTGTGGTTGGACATTTGTAACACATTCCTCAACCACGTCAACTGATGAAGTTTCAGTACTTGATCTATTGATCTGCCATCCTTACCTAATATCCTTTTCCATAACAGCAACAATGCTTACTCGATGGTCCCATAATATACAAGTAAAATGTCTCGAAGACTAGTAATCTACGAATATCCTCTATTCTTTCTGGCTATGGTTCACACTTATTAATTAGGATGCAGTGTAAAGTTCTATGTGAATATTTTGTTTTAAGAAAGATGCTTCTTAATTCAGATGAAAAAAAGAGTTTGAGCTCATTGTATTTTTTGGTTTCTTGTCAGCTGCTTCACAATCTAATCATTAATAAACTAAAATGTACATAACTTTATATCATAATATCAGAAAAATTCTCACCAGCGAAAGTGATTGAAAGAAAAAACGAGACTACTACAAGTCAGACAATACTGCTTTGTCATTTATCTTAAATGATGAGAGTATTTCCGATAATTTGATACAAAGTATGTACACACTGGTGTTTTTTTCGTTTAAATGATGAATACTGTTATGTTTAAGTAGTAGTAAGCTGTTGTCAAGAAACCGTGAAATAAAAATTGTATTCATGTATTATTCGCATCACGGGGTTGTGAAGATTGTTAAGTTACACATTTTTGAAACCATGAATCGATCAATGTTAGACCACCATTAGAAACCTGGAAGCACTGAAAGACGGCCGTTTCGTCCTGGTATGGGACTCCTCAGCAGTGCGCATCCACGACTCCTGCACCCCCGCAGGACTCGAACCCAGGACCTCCATGTATTATTCAACAAAAGTTATTTATTAATTTGAAAAAGTTGCTTAAAACAAAAATGTTATAACAGGTAAACTTAAAAACTAAATAAATATGCACATTGAACAAAAATAATTGTTCTGAATTTGAACTGTTTGCTTTAACATATTTCTTCTACTCTAATTATGTAAACGTATTTCATTAAAAGAACTTTACTAATAAGAATCAGTTTGAAACTATGCAGCATTTTTTGGAATTTCTACTTATCTATTTTAAATTAAGCGTTCAAGTCATGAAACATTAGGAAATACAATTTTCCATTCATTGAATATATCATTATTATTATTATTAATAACTTTTCACCATTTTCAAGATTTATTTAAAACTATCAAGTTCAACTTTAGTACTGATACCTATTATTAACTGCACTGGATTCTAACACTGAGGCTGACCACTTTAGTGGCTAGCGATTTGACTCTGATATTTTGTAAAAAATTAACTATGTTATGAGAAATAAATTTCCCTCTTCAGTTTCCGTAAAGGCGAACTTCGTTTGTGCGGTGGCGGTAATAAGAAGCCAAAGCCAGGTTCGGTTGAATGAGTTTATTTGTGCAGATAGACACGAGAATACAAAGCGTACAAGCAAAGCAAAGTAAAGCGAAGTGAAGTGAAGTGAAGAAGGCAAGTGAACCAACTCAATCAGATGGGGCAATGACTAGCTTTTTTTTCACAGTCAGACAGAAATACTTCAGACAAGTGACAAGCGGAGCAAACAATGAACACATACGCACTCGAATAAAAATAACCAAGATTATGGGCAAATGATTGACAAGGTCAAAAGACGAGAAGAATGAATTAGTTGATTTGTCCGAAGGCATGGGATAAACCCTATGGGTTCGACATAAAAGTACATGCACTACACTATGTTAAGCATCTTAGTTCTATATTCTATCTCTAGAACCGCTGCGAATGTTTCACTGTAGACGAATTTCATTCTAGACAGAAACAACTGTTCATTACCCTCTGAACAATAGCATGGGTATTTGAATTAACGATCTTCAACTTGTATACTATCCATTAATCTGTCGTGCTAATAATAACTAATGCAGAATTATTTATTATGACAAGTTCATCAGTTTTATACATAAATATCATGATTCAATCATTATTATACCACACCATTAGAACCCTGAAAGCACAGAAAGACGGCCGTTTCGTCGTGATGTAGGACTGATCAGTAGCAGTGCACATTCTCGACTGCTGCCACCCAGAAGCTTCGATCTTACGCGCGAACACCTAACCTTCGGACCAATGAGTCAAAACGACTGTTCAGCTCTTCCAGGTATCTAACGGTGGTCTAACAATCATTGATTCATGATTTCTATCTGTAAAGAAACAATGATCTCCATAACTCTAATTGAAAAAGAACATTATTATTTCAATTTATTAAGGTCGGTTCAAAACACTGACATACCATAAAACAACCAAGAATCTCTTTCATTTCGTCTATTATCTCAACTGACAAATAGATTAAAAGATCATCAAGTCATATCTGTTATTTATAATCTAACAAACTGATATAAAGATAATCTATCTCTACTTGTCATGCACCTAATAACAATGTGATATTTAATAGTGATTGAATAAAACTTACCTGAAGGTTTTTTTTTCCTTTACTGTAAATTAGATTTGTACAAATACATATTCAACATAATATTTATTGATTTCCTCGATAGGATTTCAGTTCAAAATTTTCTCAGAAAAATATTTTTTTTCAAAATTAAAAATCTAATAAACTGGTTAATCAATCTATAATATTTTCGAAGAAAAATTTTATGGAGTATATCTAACTTCCCCTATTTCGTCAATAAATTTTCATTATAGAGTTATAAAAATTATTGAGTACCGCTGAAATGATGATTCAATGATTAGTGTTATAAATCCCGCACGCGGGAATCGAGCTGACAACTTTCGGTCTCGTGCATGGATGGTATTAATGTCTAACTTGAACCAATCCATGATATTGCACAACCTCATCTATTGCCTTCAATAGTTAAGTAACTGTCTCAACTTTGACATGGTTGAACTCTACTGGTCACTGCTTCTCACTAGAATTTCGAGAATTTCCTAACAAAGCTAATCCCTTGTGAGTACACGATACCTGTCATTATATAAAGTGGTGAAGATTATTGAGTCTCATTGAAATGATGAACCGATGATCCATAGTGTATCACTATTAGAAACCTAGAAGGTCATTTCATCCTAGTATGTGACTCATCAGCAATACTTCCAGGTTACTAATGATGGCCTAATATTGATCATTGATTCATCAGTACAATACCAGCAAACCGTTTGTTTTTTTTTCCTATACTCACTATCTATTAAAAAACCAAATTTTTTTTTTTTTGAAATTCTAAATAATCAACTCCTTCATCTGACATTTTTGTATCATTATTGATTGATGATTGTGTTTAGTCAAAAAAATTCCAAAATCGACTAGACAACCTTGAAATCGATGTCAATAAACAAATGAATCAATTAGAACAAATCAATAATCAATTAACCAGCATACTGACACGTCAACACAATGAAGCCAAACAAATTGAAGCGAAATTCAATGAAATCACTAATCTATTCGAACGTGTTATGCATGCGATCAATATGAGTTGGTCAACTGTGGACAATGCAAAATCATGGTTACAAAAATTAGAAGGTATATATATTTCTGTGATTATTATTTTTATGATGAGAACCATGATTTTAAGTATGCTTTTCTTTTTATCGAATATTTGTTACGCCTGCACGTAAACACGTCAACTTGCTATACTTGAACCATTATTACGAGTTTACCCCTTAGTCCGAAAACAGGAGCTAGGATCAAGGATCCGGCGACACGACATACTACTCAAATCTGATTATCCTCCAACCCCCATATTCAGTGAAAATAAGAAGACTTGAATGTGGAGTAGAATCTGTATTCTACAAGCATCCAGAAAGTACGAGGTCCGAATCCAGAAGAGAATCAGGATCCCAGACTAGGGATTCGGGACCGAGCCCTGGTCCTGGTCCTGGTCATAAAATATTACAGATAATGCGTATTTATACATTTAGGTTGAATAGGAAACAGCATCGAATTCTGTGACATTGACAGTTAAGACGACCAATAGAAAGTAACACTTGAAGTGACATTGATAGTCAGAATGACCAATAAGAGACAACATTTAAGTATTTGACTTTGTCAGTTAAAACGACCATAATTTTGACCAATAAAAATCGACCAATAGGAATTGACCAATAATTCTATTAGGACATTGGCTGAATATCCTAACAATATTTCATTTTACCAACTAAAAATACATTGTGTACGTTTTAGTGGCCAGCGAGACCTGACTTCAGTTCGGACGAATGGTCGAGTATGTGATGAGATCAGTTTTACACCATACATATGCGACTTACTTACTTTCGCCTGTTATGCTCAATGGAGCATAGGCCGCCGACCAGCATTCGTCAGGCTACTCTGTTCTAGCTATTCCTTTCCAGTTCTGTCCAACTGTTGTTCATTCTTCACATGTCTGTCTCTATTTCTCAGAGTAATGTATTTTTTTGGTCCGCCTCTTTTCCTTTGGTCTTGAGGGTTCCAAGTAAGAGCTTTTCTGGTAATATAGTTGGGTACCTTCGTCAATATATTCCCTGTTCACCTCTTGGTGAACATCTGGTTTGTTCTCTTCCACTGTAGGTTGTTTCGGATAACGTTACAACCGTTTGTGAGACGTTGGTGATTAAAAGCTAAATATGGTTTTGCGGATAAATTTATTTGATGCATTCATTTAAGCAGACAAATACCATAATGAATGGCAGGTGTTTTGTGATTGGTAGTCTAACAATCTTCATCGATTCATGGTTTCAATAATTAGTTCTTCACTATTATTTTCATATCCTACCGATAGTTACTTGTTTGTTATACTAAGAACACCATCAATGACTGTGTTTATCTGTAAGGGATGTTAGATCCCTAGAACTAGCTTGATAAATGCCTTAATTTTGGATTTTATGTATGGGCTGATCAGTTAACATTGAGATCACATTTCCCACCAGGAAAATCCTTGGCTGTGATTGGTTACTGTGTTATTTTAATGTGCTATTTTTGTAACTCGCCTAAAGACATTTCTATGATGTATAAATAAACGCGATTTGTCTGCTTGATCATCATTGCGTTTGTTGGGTGTTTGTGGAATACATTTTCTACGCTATATCAAGACTTCTCGTTAGCTGTTTTTAGTCAACGGATCAGAGTAGCCTATCCGGACACTGGTTCATTGTCCCATTCTCGTTTATCGACTAAGGTGAACCCGTAATAGTTTCAAGCATATCAAGAGACAAGCATAACATTATCACTAGTGGTAACAGTAATAATAATAATAATAGTAATGTGACATTATTTTAGAATTCTTTCTATACAGAGAATAAACCGACTGAATAAATATGACAAGTTTAAATTTTAAAAAAAAGACCGCCAGATAAAAGTGTGACAAGTGTAGATAACGTGTTTCTGTGTTTAGTTTTTCTGTTTTTTTAAACTGATTCTTATGATAAGGGTTAGATTTACCATGTGATAAATTAAATTTATTTACAGTAGGAAAATCAGTGCCTTATTGTTGAAAAACTTTTCATCATATATCATGTTACACATCTGAAATCATGAATCAATCAGTGTTAGATCACCATTAGAAACCTGGAAGCACTGGACGGCCATCGTGTCCTGGTATGGGACTCATCAGCATTGCGCATCGACGGCTCCTGCACCCCGTAGGATTCAAACCCAGTACCTTTGGTATTGTGCGCAAACGCCTAACCTCTAGATCACTGGGCCAGTATTAGAGATAATGTCTAACTTGATCAATACACGGAGTTGCACTGATGAGTTCTATACCAGGACGAAACGGCCGTCCACTGATTCTAGGTTTCTAATGATGATTGTCTAACAATGATTGATTCATAGTTTCAAAATGTTTAACTTTACAATCTTCACAACCCTGTAATGCATATATGATGTTGTTTGTTTGGAATATCAGTCCACTTCCTAAATGATGTATCACTAATAAAGTTTAACTTTACGATTTGAAATAAACAGAGTATTTGGTGAATATTTAGCACTGTAATGAAGTAATCATGTTATGAGAGGTCAAGAGTGACTATCACTCAAATTTACCTTAGGTGGTTTAACATTTTCATCATAAATATTCATGTATATTAGAGTAAAGCCTGATGACGATCTAATCGAAAACAATAAAATTGTTCGCTTATATGTGTAGGTCAAGAGTAGTCTCTACTTGTAACCTAAAAACCAATACTGAAACAATCGGTACAGAATGCACACATATATACAAAAAAGAGTTTTGTTGTCTGAGTGGAATGTTTTGATTGTGGTGTTTCGGTTGTGATTCACATATGGAGAAATCTGAATACTTCCCTTCAGCCATCTGAAGTCTGTGCTGATGATGATGATGACATTGCTTTTCAGCAGGAGAACAATGAAGAAAGCTCCATAACCAGAAATCATCCAGCTCACAGAATGAAACTCCTTATCACAGTCAACCACCAATTGAGAGACTGACGAATTAATAATCTTAAACATTTGATGAAATGAAGATTTATACAACGAATACAAAACATGAAAATAAATTTAGAATAGTAAAGTAGATCCTAATGAGAATAAAATATTGAATTTCTGAGTTTCGAAGACTTGGTGTAAATCATTTAGAAAAAAAATCTCTAGACGATCATCTTTAGATGATCGAGGGCGACCCTGGACGCTATGTTTGGGGAAGCAGCCGCAGACATCCTGGACTACTGACGCTAACCCAGTGTGGTTGTCCTGTAGTGTGCCTATAACTGCGTGTTCAAATAGCTCAGTTTATAAATCAGAAGATAAACTCCAAGTATCGTATACATTTATTCGAGGCACACCACATACAGACTGAGCAGATACACTAGCGAGCGAATATGCGAATGAGCGAAGAGGAGAAGCGAATAGGAGAAGGCTAGTGAGCCAACTCAAAGAGATAGAACATGACTAAGAATATATAGTCAGACCAAAAATAAGACAGACATATGACAGGCGAAATAGGCATGCACACACATGAATAAAAGCGACGAATGATTGACAAGGTCAAATGCAAGCGATACAAATCATGTGAGTTCATGGGAAAATTAAGAGATTAACATTAAAGCGAAAAGGATGAGTAAGTGCGTAAGCGTAAGCAATGCTCAGTCGTATAAGCTCATACAAAGCAGATAATAAAAAATAACAATGGTACATACAAGTTGTTGCTAAGCGAATGGCTTGGTTAAATAAATTAATCGAAAGGGATTAACCAAGTTAGATGTGAGAGAACTGAAATATATGTGGAGGCACTACAATAGCCCCCTTCCAGCAAACAAGGTTACGAAAATATCTTTGTTTGCGAGAAAAAAAATCAAAATCGTCGGAAAACATCAAAAGGTACGAAAATTAAAGTTACCTTGTCCGAGTACGTTCGTAAGTTCGCATAGTAACAGATCGAAAATATGTGGTAAGCGGTTATTAGCAAAAATAATCGATTTCGAATAGAACACATTAGGAGCAGTTGTACGATACGAAAATGTAATACGAATGCTGCAAAATATTTAATATCGTTTAGGCATGACAGTTAAGACGGAATTCGATAATCGCATAGACATTACGGTAAGGCTCATCGATAAATCGAGTGGCTGCGGATTGGTGAAGAAATTGCGGTCGAGATTATCGTGAAAAAATTTGGAGAATAAAGCTGCGTACCAATGCGATGCATAAACATTAGATGCATATCGAGAACATAAGTTTCTACCATTGAGTATATGACTCCAAACTTATGTGTATGATAGCGTTGCAAACCGTTGCCAGCGTTGGGGTAGTCGAAAAACATGCTAATATCAGCGTGCAGGAGGTTCGCTCGACTGCTTGATCTGCTGTTTCATGAGCATGTGCGTAATATCATACCACCAATTTACTTAGCAGGCTGCAAGATTTTCGAGTACGAGCAGCTGATGAGTACATCGAAAATATCTCCAATGCGATAATCGTATAGCCACGGAAATATTAATAGACAATAATTGTCGTTGAGCCATTGCTTTATTAAGCGATTCGAAACATAATAATGCTATACGGCAAAATAAATAGAATGAACTCACCTTAATCATGAACGTCGTTCGTTTTGTCGAAAGAAGTAAAATAATTCCGTGAGTTACAAATGTCCTGCCATGAACAGAATATTCGAAATGCGATTCGATTAGCGATTAAGATAATTCCATTATTGTCATAATATCATGATTCATCATAATAATGGTTCTTTCACATTAATACGATAATGATAGCGATAATTGGATAATTCGAGAAATAGATTAATGCGACAGGTTGGTACATAATCAAAATGACGATAAGATAATGCTTGATTCGTTCAGCTAATGCATTAAGTACGAGAGCTGCTTTGTCGCTGAGTGGCGTCGGGATTTCCAGTTAGCGGTTCTGTTCGATTTGTCCTCGAAATTACCAACTGGTTGGTTATATTCGATTTGTCATCGGAATCGTCGAATTACGTAGTGAGAGTTTACTGATCTTCTGTGAAGACGTATGGACGAATGAATCGAGCGAAGCAAATAGGGAGTGATATGAATGAACGACGGGTTCGACATTTT